ACAAGACTAATCTATTTGTATAGACTAACTTGTGACAATCTTGTTAAGTAAAGATACTAGTAAGAAAGTACAATTTGAGTTGACCACAACGAGAGTAATAATGAAATCCATCCATCCTTATATCCTCATTGCTTCCAGTCCTGCCATCCCGTCCATCCCATTTTCTTGCTCCTTGGCGGGATGTCTGTGATGGCATGCCATCCCTAATCCCATTGCCATCCCATGCTTGGCGGGATGTCTTGTCTTGGCGGGATGGCACATCACGTGACCCCAGGCCCCGCGATGATCATTACCTTCTGACGTGGACGTCCATAAGCCTTCAGCCATCTCGTCATTTGTCAAGGAGAGGATCCTTCTTGTTACTTGTAACACTCTTCGCCCTTAACAATAGTAAGGAGAATTATATCGATCTATTATCTCTATTAGTATGTACCTAAGACTTAGCAGATAATGTAAAATTATAATATATATAGGAGATAAGCGAATTATATAAGTATTCTTGGTAGCTATCCTTGTTAGCGGTGTGACTATGCACCTCTAGCTATTTAGCATGGGCATTAGTTATCTAAATATTATAGACTAAGCCGCTAGTAGAGAGAAGTATAATAAGATTGAAAGTTCTAACCCTAATTATCGTATGCAAGTGATGAGTATTAGAAACAGTCTAGATTCCGTTGATAGAATTGCTATCCATATCGCAGATCGGGGTAGAAGCATTTAGACATTTAATGACCCTTCCTTCCACAATCAAAACAACGGTTTTCTAATCCCCTAAGATAACAACCATATTCAACTGTCTCGATAGATGCGAAGCACTCGGGAAGTTTATGATTGAACACATCGCATCTGTAGCATCTTACTACTTATCTTTTATTGGCATGGTGGGAGGATTTCGAGCTTGCTGTCGTGGTGTGATAGCGTGGTGTTCGTAGACTACTATCTAAATCTTCAACAGACCGTGATTCCACAACTAAAGAATTAATTAGCTAGGGTCCAATTCTCAGCGTGCGTATCGAGGATATAATCACTAACTAGTAGGTACTCTTGTGTCGAGGGCGCGAACTCTCTTTGCAGTTTCTACTAGCTTTCAATCTCCTGCCTAATAAAAGCTTTCAGGATATCACGTATGTTTTGATAGCCTTAATCGAATTTGCTACTGTACCTGACCATTTGCATGTGATTGGCGTCTATGGTTTCCACATTCTCATGTAGAAGCCCGAGTTTTGACGAAATTTTTTCGACTACCTGCAATCCCAAGTCTCAGACACAACTTCTCGCACGTCAAGAACTTATTTTTCCGTGTAATCCTTTGATACCGGTGATAGCTCGTGCCTCTTGGAATGAATGGATCTTGATGTCTCCATTATACACGATCTTGATGAATTCCTCTTGAATGTTTTCTACAACTTCGCTTTTTACTTCTAGCGTCTTGAGTAGTTATCATCTTGTTCGAATCATGAAGTACGAGACGCGCAAGGTTTGAAGCAATCTGACGCCAGTCTGCATACGCACTCCCTCGATGCAGCGTTGCGAGGAAGATGACAAGCTTTGTCCGGTCGCGCATTGTCTCTGACCGGCGGATAGCCTACCGTTGCAGGTCAGCAAAGCTACCACTTTTCGATCAGTGAATTGGTTATTACATCCTTAAGAACAATAACGCCAAGGCTGTGTACTACAAATGCGAGGGGCTTCTGCAATAATGTTACTTCCACTCAGTCAATTAGCAGCTCAAACGCTGCGCAACTCGGCGACCGTGGTATTATACCTCGTTGTCAATCTCCCGCACAAGCTTGACAGACAGATCGCGGCCATGCTCGGAAATACTGTTCCTGTTATGGGCCCCAAAAAAAGGCCCCAACTACATCTGCGTTATATCCGTATGTCCACACCCGAGCCTGTGGTATATCCACTGCTAAGTATTCTTCTGACCAGAAGACGGTCGACGGTGCCAGTGCCAGTGCCGGTGCTGACGATGTGGGACTTGAAATGGGAATCTGCACTTGTTCTGTGCTCGTTGCTACAGAACGGCTTGCCCGTCTTTGGAACCAAGATTTGAGGCCCCTAGATCTTTTTATCGTGTCGCTGCTGCCGTGGTTTGCGCTCGCCGCTGCTGCTGCCTTTGCTGTTTCCCAGGTTCCTCGAGGGTGGCCTCGTAGACCATGAACGAACACTATACTGTGGGCTATCAATCAGACACCTCGGATGTGGACGGGCGCTGTCATACTTCAAGCTAATTTGGTTGTCGCCGTGCTCTACGCCTCTCAGCCTTGTGAGGCCGAGCCGAAGCACCTCCGCCATGTGGGCTACACGCGTTAGGGTGCGTAGTTTCACTTGGTTCAGAATGTATCTAAGTGCGCAACTTTCAGAACTCGTTGAACCAGCATCGCCTTTACGTCGCAGATGATTGGAAAGGTCATCGTAATCAGTGCAGGTGTACTAGAGGCTGTAACTCAGCCGAACGCACAGGGGGCTTTGCGCGACGCGTCAAAGGGTCTGCTTTGACTCGCTGCGATCGGGTGGGACAAGCGCTCCCTATTGCCTAAAATGCCGGAGCTTGCCATGTGAAAGAGGCACATAACAGACAGCAACTTAAGGTAGCTGAAGCGAAATTACAAAGATTTTGAAACAACTTTAAGACCAACTCTTAACTACGTTGAACTCATTAAGTTATACTAACCTGCGTTAACAGGGATTATAGATACTACGGGAGCTCGCTATGCTGGTGAAACCTGAATATTAACCTGACCCTTAACCTGCACATCCATTTGCCTTCCCGACTTAGCTTGTCGCTCCTCTCCTTCTAAGGTGGCTTTACGCTTTCGTCTAGGCTTAGAAGTGCCTTTAGCTGCCTTAGTTACTAGCTGCTCAGCACGTTTCGCCCGTGCTTCTTCTAGTTCCCTAAATCCCATAACCTTAGCCTTTCCTAGGATCTCGGCCCTAGTTAATCGACGGGTTTTAGTCTTATTATTAATCTGCATTAAGAACTGAATCTAGTCTCGCTAAAGAACCCTATTAGAGAAAGCTATATAGGCAGCCTTGGACAACTTCTGAACGTTCTTCTATAGGCTATATACGCCACTCTCGTCTAAACCTTAAGCAGCCTGGTTTATTATGGTTTTCTACAGTAATGCTATGTTCTGAGTAGTCCTTGGCGTTATAGGCTTAAGGGGTGATCGAATACTCTCTTAGGGATGCGATAGGATCTCTCCCGTGTTAACATGAGTTAGTTCTAGAAGCAGTCGGGCATGCTACGGAGCACTCTATTAGGATTGAATGGAAATAAGCTACACGTAGAGAAGCCGGCTCTAGAATTCCTTATTATAAATGCTATAGTTCGAGCACGGCAATACAGTTAAGTAAAACGCTCTTTACCTATGGTATTCACATCGCCGCGCTCTAGTCGTTCAACCTCATCGCGATAAACTGCCTTAAGAGGAGCAAATATAGCGACATCACAGGGCAAGCTCGAATTGGAGGGAACATTGTAGTAGATCCATCGGCCTCGGGTACTAATGGATTCACTGTTCTTATGTAAATGTTAGAGATGAGCGCGCCTCCCGGCCAAACACGATCACTCAAGTTGGAGGAACTCACTGTGATCTAGAGAGCACCATATTGTCACAAGCGAGTGAAACTGTCATATCCAAGATTGTTGAGGCGGAAGGAGTCGAGCCCGCTAGCAGTGTCATGCCAAGGTAGCGTGAGTGCGGGGGCTGCTGAGCCACCCATAATAGCTATTACTACGAGCATTTGTAGCAGAAAAGCGTTTGTAAACCTGCAATCAATTTTAACACACAATAATCCATTTAACAGGAATAGGAGTTCTCTGTTACAAGTAACAAGAAAGTATCTCTGCTTGATGTAGACCGCACGGGAAGGGCCATTAGACGTCCACGTCGCAAGTTGATGATCTCCACTGGGTGTAGGTCACACAGCTCAGAGATTGTCAATGTCAGTAGGGTTGAAATGATTGGATATTCTGTTGGTAAAGTCACTCGGCTTCACTTCTCTATTGTTCGCTCCTAAACACAAAGTCATACAACAAACAGCCCCGATGAACAAAAGGACGAAAGAGCAAAAGCCTTATTTCTTGGCCCCTGACCTTGCCAGCTTCCTCATAAAAGCATTTTGGACACCCTTTGTTCCCTTGAGCTCCTTGTTCCTGCTCTTGTTGACCTCCATGTACGCCATAGTCTGTCCGCCAGACAATTCAGAAAGCGTGCCAGCCGCTCTCCGCACTCCAAACTTCTTCTTGTTGCCCTTGTTCGAAGCGTACTTTGTGCCAAACGCATCGCCTTCGATTCTTTCCTCCTTGGCATCTTCTTCACGGGCAAGCAGGACATCCATGAGTAGCTCTCGCCGCTCTTGTGGTGTCGCGAATGCTAGTTGTGAGAAGTTTTCGAGTCCTTCGAGACGGGTGATGACCTTGAAGGCATATCCTTGATCAACAAGGAAAGCTTGCCGCTTGGATGAGTAGTACATTTCGTCTGTATCCTTGGATACCAGAGAGTAGAAGAAGGCATTAAAGCCCTCGTCGTTCCTCCTCTTGGCCCGTAGAATCCTGCCTAGTCGCTGCGCCTCTTGACGACGTGAACCGTAATGTGACGAGATTTGAATCAGACATGTCGCTTCTGGCAGGTCTAAGCTGGTGTCGCCAATCTTGGAAAGGAAAATAGTGTTGACGAGCTCGTTGTGTTGAAAGTTCTCCAAAATGCGGAGACGTTCTTGTTGTGGAGTTGCACCGTAAATGTATGCTTTTCCAAGCTTACGCGAGTACTTCTCGAGGGCGTACACATTGTCCGAAAAGACGATGATCTTGTCGCCTCGTGATTCGTGATAGTTGATGAGGAACTGACAGGCTTGAAATTTCTTTGGGTTCATAATTGAAAGTAATGCACGCTTTTGCAGCGACGAAGGCTTGAGCCATTCAGTGTAGAATTCAGGCGTCATTTGACACCAAACTTCTGCACACTGCACTTTGGCAATATGTCCTTGTTCCGACAATTCTTGCCAGTTGGCCTCGTAAAGCTTGGGGCCAATAAGGAAGTTGAGATCGTCAATCTTGTCATCTTCTCGAAGGAGAGTGGCGGTCAAGCCGAGTTTTGCGTGTGATGCGATTTCATAGGTGACCTTTTTAAAAATGTTGGCAGGCACCACGTGCACTTCATCAGCTATCAGCAGTCCCCATTCCTGCCCACGAATGAACTGCATGACCTTTTCCGCATCGTGCGAACGCTTCCTAGCATTACTGATCATGGAGTAGGTACTGATAATGATACCAGCCTGACGAGGAAAGCGGGTCTTGTTGTCTGCCGTAAAGACGGCTACATCTTCTGGATTGATGTTTGACCACTTGATGAATTCGGCGCGCCACTGAACAACGGACATGGCACTTGTGCACAGGACAATGACGGATTTCTTCACACCACAGGCAGCCGTGATGCCGACTAGGGTCTTACCTGCGCCACATGGCAGCACTATGATTCCTGAACGGGCACGAGAGTTTGAAAACATCTTACTAAGAGCCTTCTCCTGATAGTATCGAATCTGGGCGTGCGGCTTCAGATCGATTTCCAAATTTGGATTGGTATCGTCATTGTTGAAGTCGTACTCTTCAGTCAGTGGTAGACCAATGGCCCGGCAACGTTTCACGACCTTTTCACGCTCCTCACTCTTAATTTGGAACGAGTGGACTTGGGCGACCTCGTCATCGTCGTCGTCCTCGCGCAATGTAGCAATCATATCGCTTGGAGCAGGATTTTGAGCAGCTTCAGGCTGTTGCTGTTGTGCCATGTTGTTTGCACCAGCGGCTAGCTTGGTACCTGGGATCGCCATTTGGCCAATCTTTGGTGCAGCTTCTTTGATGAGGCCATCGGTTGTATCGGCCCTGCACTCTGCGACGACAGGGTCGCGGAGCAGTTTCTGGAGGATAGCAGGATCCTCGCTTTCTATGTAGGATAGCGTCTTTTTCAACACAATCTTGGCCTTACCGAAAGCGGACGTGGACTTTTCAACAAACTGGATGATGGCTTCAGACAGGGCAGTTTTGGAGTAGCGGTCAAGCTTCTCGATGATCTCTTGCTTAGAATGACCAACACTGACGGCAGCGAACAGACTGTGGGTTGTGAGCTGGTATTCATGCATCTTGGAGACACGCGACTGCGGCTCGGCGATGTTGATCAAAAAGTCCTGGGCCTCATCGAAGAGAGGATGGAAAGACTCGAGGATGATTCCGCCTGCATCATTGACCCATAGCGGACGGTTGTAGTGGTCTGACTTGAGAGGCGCACTCCACTGGTCCGATTTTCTGAAGAGATCGGCTGCGGCGTCGCGGACACGGCCAGCGCGCGCGCGCTTCGTCATGGCTTTGACATCGAATTCCTCCTTGAGCTGATCGAACGTCTCTTGGTCGCTCATGGGGCCCTCGTCGTTGTCGTCCCAGCCATCTTCAGCCTCAGCGTCGGCAGCCGTCTGCGCAAGCTTCCGTTTTGGCGGCATGGTGGCGGAGTGCTCTCTTATATGGCCGAGTGCGGGTGGCAAGGGCGCGCGCCGGGCGTAAGGATTTGCAGATGGACAGCTAGAGACGAGGACGCGGGGGTGAGGGTAGGAATGGGCGAGGGCGAGGGCGAGGGCGAGGAAGGAAGAAGGGAAGGACGGGCGGGCGGGAGTGGAATAAGAACGGATGGGATACGCAGGCAGCAGTCGTCGATATGATGTACCATGGGCAGGGCAGGGCAGGGCAGGGCAGGGCAGTGCAGTGATTATGTAAGGCTAGAGCGGCACTGTCCCTGCAGCAGAGCCTACAGTCCAGTGACTTTACTAGTGAGGACGTTGGTGCAAGTGTGTAAATGTGCGCATGACAGGTGTCAGCGAGACGAACAACATGTATGAATTCGCCATGTGTGTGTAGAAGTAAAAGACGCGCTGAGACGCGAAAACATGTGAATGGCCGGGGGTGGATTGGGTCGGGTGGGTGTGCAGCTGGGCGGCCGACGTCACCTTGTCCCTGTCAGCGAGGCTGCGCTGCTTTCTGGCCAGAATACACACATACACAGATAAACACTCGCCCACACCCGTAGATACATACACCCCCCACATATAGACACTCTCCCCCGCAGAATGAGCGCATGAAGACATAGCATGCTTCCCAATGGGCGCATCCGACTCCAAACTCTCCTTCAAGCAGGGCATCTTCCGCCTGTCTGAGCCCAAGCAGATCCCTGCCGACGATGTCTACTGGACCGGTGTATGCCGTCTGCTGAACTCATATCCTGCTCTTCTGCTGACCATGACCGCCAGTTCTGGGAGCTGCCAGAGTCGACCGAGGATGTCTTCTCCCTTTTCTCGCCTGCAGACATTCGCCGCACCCGCGACAACAACCTAGCCAACCTCGAGACGCTGGTACTCGCAGTCACCTCGCGCCTCATTGTCCTGCGCAACCACCCCTCGTTTCCGGACCCTGACCTCGCCCCGGAGCGCGATGCCCTCAACTGCATCCGTGTCCTCACCCGCCTGTTGCCCTTTTTGTACGAGGCCGACCACCTCGATACGTGGGAAGACCAGTTCTTCTGGGCTGAACGTCGCAAACGCAGTCGCAGAGGCCAGCTCGTGCGCAGCGAGGTCATCTTTGACGAGGCCGACCCGGAACAGACGCCCACAGAGAAGGAGTCCGAATTTGAAAAGGCCAAGCCGCTGGCCGAGGAGATTATCGACACCCTCATCGACTTGCTCTTCTTCTCCGACTTCACCCTGCCCAAGGTCGCCCCCGGCAAGAACAAGGTCAGCTATGCCATCTGGCAGAGCGGCGTCGGCTGCAACACGCCCGTTGCGTCCACAAAGGAGTTTGAAAGCAACAGGACTGAGATCTTGCGCCTGCTCCTCACCCTAGCTAGCAAGTCCATGTACATGTCGGCGGGTATGCATCTTACCATGCGCACACATCAAGTCGATTCTAACCAATTGCAGGCGTGCTGCCAGTAAAAGGCGTCAAGGCAATCACATACATCGCCACCTGTCCAGACAAGCAGGTCGTCTTATCCGTGCTCTGCTCGCTCCTCAATACTGTGCGTGTCCCTCGTCGCTTCCTCGCGTACCCGCTGATCCCCCACAGACGCTCAAGTATAACCCCGCAACATGGCGCGTACCCTACGACCATGTTGTCTTCAAGGACCAACGGCAGATTTTGGTCACATACTGTTTGCAGCTACTGTTGGTACTCGTCCTGTACCCCATCCCTGAACCTGGCAATGGCCCAGCGCCCAAGAATTTCTTCCGTCACTTCCTTGGTCGTTTGCACCGTCCGCAAGATTTCCAGTTTCTCGTGGATGGCATGACAAGAATCCTCAACCAGCCGGTACGCAACACGCAAATTAACTACACATCCTCTAGCTAACACTCGCTAGCTTCAAGCAAACACATCCTATCTCCCCGGCAGTCACAAGTCGCTGACATGGGCACCGGAGATGATCATGCTCTTCTGGGAGGCGCTGCAATGCAATAAGCGATTCCGCTCCTTCATCATCGACACCGACAGAGCCCACGACTTTGTTGTCTTAGTTTTATACTATGCCATTGATCAGCGCAATGATCCCTCCAAGCAGGGTCTTGTGCGCATGTGCATCTTCGTGCTCCAGACACTGAGCGTCGAGCCACAGTTTGGCAAGAGCCTCAACAAGACATTTGAAGGCCAAGAGTCGCTTCCAGCCAGCATCCGGATACCAAACTTCCATGGCACATATGCCGACTATGTCATTACAGTATGTAGCCCAATCAACAATCACCATACGTCTGCTAACCATACCAGTCAATCTATACACTTCTTACCACCAGCAAAGGCAAGCTTGATGCGATATATCCCGCGCTGCTTGCGATACTCAACAACATTGCCGCCTACGTTCAGAATATTGGGCGCGCGACCAGCTCAAAGCTATTGCAGCTCTTTGCATCCATGTCCTCACCTAGCTTCTTGCTTGCCAACGAAAACAACCACACGCTTCTGCACTCGCTCTTAGAGGTCTTGAATGCCATCATAGAGCACCAGTATCCGCGTAAGTATGACCAACACAGCCACCATTTGCCAGCTACTAAGCTATCAACAGATAACCCAAATCTCGTCTACGCGATTGTGCGTTCACGGAAGCGGTTTCAAGCGCTCCGAGACTTCACACTCGAAAGTGGCCAAGAGGAGCTTGAGCGCCAGAACCAACTACGGAAGGAGGGTGGAGAAGATATGACACGCACAAACTCTATAGATAGTCTAAGAAGCCCGACAGTCGCGCGAACACCCACTCTGGGCAATGTGCCGGAAGAAGACGGCGCTTTTGCGATTGGCGACGATGATGATTCGGACGAGGAAGCTGATGCGTCGCGCACATCCGGACCAATCAGATCTCCTCCACAATCACCTTCGGGCGCTTCAAGAAGTGCATCAATAGCCTCGTCTGTAGACGATTCAGTACCTCTGCAGCTAAGGGGTATGTCAGAAAAGGCACGAGGCAAGCGACCAGTGGGCCAGCCAGCATTTTCTAGGCAAAACAGCATGACAAGCTTGCACAGCGTAGCCGGTCCGGCAATGGCTTCTAATGAGTTCTTTACGCCGTCTGTCCCATGGGTAAGTCATCTTATTTCAACCATACACATTTGCTAACATGGTCTGTAGTTGGAAGGATGGCTTTCGGAGTTGCCGCTGCATACTATCCTCATGCTGATATCGGAGCTTGGGCCCAAACTGCCCGCTTCAGGAAACTCCAATGATACAGCAGAAGCTCTGAAGATCATTCGCGAGACCGAAGTGCGCGGCATCGAGCCGTCACCAATTAGGGTGCACCTGTTCGAATGGTCTCCTCTGTCGCTTGGTTGGTACGAGTCGCTACTATGGGGTTTCGTCTTCGCAGCGGAGATGCTTGTAGCAAAGGGCACGGCTGGGGTATGGAACAACACTAGCATACGGCTATTCAAGGTGCAAGAAGCAGCGGCTACCGCTCCTTCGCTCCTGCAACCGCGAGGCGCTGTAGATGCTGTGGGCAGTAATCTAGTGCAGCGAATTGGCTCGCTCAACCTGCGCGGCGTGGCTGCTCAAGCCGCGCAACGCTCTCCCGCGAGCAGCGGTCATCCCGGCGCAGCGAGCGTTCGAGACGTATAAGCATCGCCGCCTTGTTTTTATCAAAGTAACCTGTTAGACATTTTTTAAAATTAAAGCGTACATGCATATACTCGAGGGCTTTCTGCAGGTCGAACTGACAGGGACGAGGCGACGAATAAGGAATTTTGCCACTAGTTCTACATAAACTGGGTTTCGGGGATAATAGCATCGCATCGTCTAAAGCGCGTGATTGGTGTGCCTTGTTCATGGGGGTATGTTAATGTTTAAGCCCTATATTTCCGTAACTCGACATTTCTTTTGCCGATCACACCTCTCTCTCTCGCGCGGTTAGTATGTTTTGCACAGCCACATAGTCCCGTAGTTTAATGTATCTAAGTATGTTCTGTTTTGCCACACTAACGTCCCCCCCAAAAAAACTAAGTAGCTGGTGATTTTACCCCATCCCCCGTCCGTTTCTAGACCGTCTCGGCAGTGAGGGTCATTGGTAGCTTGAAGGCTTATTATGCGGAGACGCGCAAGCTGTGTGTGCTTGTTGTGCCGTGTGGGTGACGAGTGACCTTGAGGCGGGACGATCATTCCTTGGGGATATACAATAGAGTGGTGTACTAGGCATACCTTGTACTTACATGGATCCTCTCTTTTTTTGTCTTGTCTTATTTTATTTTTCCCGTTTTCTTAGTTGATGCTTGTGTTGTTTTGGTGATTATTTTGTTGTTGGGTTATACTACTAGTGTTGCATTCAAGTGTTGCGGTAGTACTCGCATCACGTTGACGTTTAATCATTCCTAGCGACTTCGATACTAAACCCATATCCCCTAGCAGAGAGAGAATTATGGGATCGGTGGCGCATGGCGATGAAGCTATAACTACGTATAGTATGCATGTACTATATCCCCCTTGTTTATCTCTATACATGTTGCTAATGCGTGAGGATTAGGTATCGTCCAAATACCTTGAGCTCACAAGAAAGAAACTCGAATTAACGCGTCTGCCACGGGAGTTGGAATTACCTGAAGAGCGGATGTGGGAGCATGGTACACCGAAGCGTGTTCTTGAACCTCTGCTGGATTTCTGGTACTGTGATCTACACTTTCCTTCAACGGCGAGAATCGCTTTTTCCAAATATACTAACACACACCTGTAGGCTAGAAACCTACGACTGGCGCGCCGCTGAATCCCGCTTCAATTCCCTCCTCCCCCAGTTTCGCACAACAATCCGTACCACATCACCGACAGGAACGCAATCTCTCCGCGTGCACTTTGTACACAAGCGGTCTACAAGACCGGGCGCTATTCCACTGCTGCTAGCACATACATGGCCCTCGTCGTTTATAGAGGTCCAACGTATTATTAATGCACTGACGGAACCGCAGTACGTACCTGATATGGGTGGTGCGGTACCACAGGCATTCCATGTTGTGGCGCCGAGTATACCTGGTTTTGGGTTTAGCGATGCGAGTATGCAGGAAGGATTTGGGTTGGAGGGCACGGCGGAGGTGTTTTGGGAGTTGATGGGACGATTGGGGTATAGCGAGTTTGTCGCACATGGGACAGGGTGGTGAGTTTGTTGCGTGCATGAATGATGGACCAGTATTGACGTTTGATTAGGGGCTTTAGTATCTGTCGGGTGCTGGCGATAAGGTATCCAAAAGCTTGTCTCGCGGTGCATACGGTGAATCCAGCGTTCAAGGCGCCGACGTATAGACAGAGTCCGTTACAGTATGTCAAGTGGCGGATTGCTGAATTGACGCAGGCAAAGGTACCATTGTTGAGCTTTGGATATGTTGGTAGCGATGTCGAACTACGATCTGGACAGCGGAGAGAGGACTTGGGGATGCAGAATGAGATAGGTAATAGTCAACCGCTAGGACCGGCATTGCATCGTCTCTGCTCGCTTCGACCGCAGACACTGGCGTTTTCACTATGTGACTCGCCGGTTGGTCTGCTTGCAGCACTCTTGGACGTCATACATACACGAGACGTTGCTCCACGACCATTTTCGGGTAGACCAAGGAGCCCATTCCTTTCGCCAGTTGAGCTGGAGATGCAGCAGAGTGATGAGGAGCAAGTTGAAGTTGGTCAAGTACCATCAGGGCTCATGCCACAGTCTCCGGAGTATACTACACGGGAGGATGAGAGCGATGGCAAGAGATGTACATGGAGTCCGACAGAGGTGTTGAATTTTACAATGTTGCAGTGGCTGCCGGGACCTGAAGCGGTAAGTGAGCACCATCCAATTCGGCCCCCAATTTCGTATGACAGCTGATGAACAACCCTAGGCCCTTCGCTGGTTGCGCCGTGCATACATGGACACAATGGCTCCATGGTATTCCAATTATATACCAACACCGCTTGGAGTATCGACATTTCTTCCGCACAATAGTAATTCCTCCACACCTCTGATGTGGGGTACGAGCTTCTGGGACATGTCGTGGGTCAAGCGACACAACGGACGATCCGCGATGCTACCAGGATTCGAGACGCCCGATACGCTAGTTATTGATTTGCGGGAGTGTTTCAGCAGCATGGTGGAGAAGGGACGGATCATATTCAAAGTACCAGAAGGGGTAGGTGAGGTAGTAAGAGGTGTGGATTGAGGCTATAGGTATATGATGGCTGCAGTATGTTTGCTATAGCTGGGAAAAGACTAAGGCGGAGGCTGTGAGGGGCTGCAAAAGGCATAGCGGTAACATGGCGTATGTAAGTGTAGGGATGCGTGTTCCTGGTCGCCGGGAGTATGCCGGTGGCACTGCGGCACAAGAGGCTAGCATATCCTGGAGCCGATGATACCGATGATACCGCGGCGGAGCGGAGCAGAGCAGAGCAGAGCAGAGGCGGTGGGCGGTTTTGTCGGATAGTCGACAAGGGGATATGGGGATATGAGGATCTGTCATGGTTATGTCCTGGGGGTGGTGGTTTTAATGCATTATTGCATGTGATATGGCATGACATGACATTGGGCTAGTACATCTGTTGCAAGATGAGATGAGATGATCATGATGATGGCAATTGTAATGGGAAGAGTGAGAGGTGGGTACATGTCAACAGATAGATGGATGAATGAATGAATTGATGAGAGATAAATCGAGTAGCCGTATAGTATATTATGAAGAAGAAAATATGTAACCTTCCACGTACCTGAGTGATGACGTCGCCTGGCTAAGTTTAGGCAGCGTCGGGCCCCAAGCGGCCGTTTGGCGCGAACGCTCCAGCCACTTTGGAATGGGCGGTGACGTCCTGCTGCAAAAACACCGCACTCGTCAAAAAATGCCTGTCGCGTGAAGGCCCAAAGCTTCCACAACGTCGCCCCAACAACTGCTGCCACGTAGAATTTTACTCCCTCAGCCCACTCCATAACATTACCTGCTGTACGTATATTCCTGCTTCTCCCTCTTCCTCTACCTAGTCACACATCGCTTCATTGCTTCTCTCTCCCATCTGCGCCTGCATCCGCCTCCCCGCACTTTTGATTGCAAGAGTTTGACGACTGATTGCTCACAGTCGGTCGTCAGCGCCCAACGTCGTGGTCGCCCATTGTTTAATCTCTGTGCTCTACGCCCCTATCAAAACACCGTCGTCACGCTGGCAGACGCGCTGTTTTCTCCAGCTTCTGCTGCTGCATAGGCCTTTGTAGCCACCAGTCCGTCTGTCGCCGCCTGCTTCGGCTATTCTATGCGTCGCGAGGACCTGGTACGCTTTCTGTCCAAGCCTGCGAAGTGAGTTGTGCCTCTTCCACAGGCTGATCTGTGTAAACACAACATTCACTGCGAACACGGCGCTGACCTCTCTACCCATAGGCCTCGATAACACCAACTACACCACCCACTTCCACCCCACTATCCGTCTTTCTTAGTCTTTGAAGCAGATCTCCTCGTCTGCTGGACCCGATACTTGCCCAGGGTATCGGAATCTGGTATCGAGGACCCCATCGGCTGCCACCATTTCCCGGCGAAAGGCCTCGTTTATTCCCCTCAACGCGCGCCCTCCCTAACATCGACTACGGTCGCTCTTATACTTCCACGTCCACTGCTGCTGGCATACGCCAGCCTCGCCTAACCCTCACGACCCGTGGGCCAATTCTTCTCAGGCGAGCACCGCATTGCTTGTCTGAGCGAGGTTGTGCTGCACATAGCTTCACAGCTAGCCTACCCTCCCAGTTTGCTCTATTCAACACCAGCAAACCGCTTCCCAGCTAGATATATTCCGAGCCCGTGCCAGTCGCACTGTAAAAGAAATGGTCGCTACCGAGATTCCCCAGCACTACACTGCCTCGCCTTCGTCGCATATTGGCACCCCTCACTTGACCATCAACAAGGAGGCTACCATCGACCTCGATTCCACAAACTCGTTCGAAGGTCCCGAGAAGCTCCTCGAAGTATGGTTCGGCCCCTCTGCTACTGAGTTGCCTGGCCAGGCCGGTCCCCTCGGCTTGAAGAAGGTGTCAGCCGAAGTATGGAAGGACATGCTCGATCTAGTCAACTGCAAGGTTCTCTCCGTTATTGAATCTGAGCATGTTGATGCCTATCTTCTCTCTGAGTCGAGCATGTTTGTCTTCCCACACAAGGTCGTCCTCAAGACCTGCGGCACTACGACTCTGCTCTGGGGGTTGACCCGCATGCTGGAAATTGCTGCTAATGCCGGTTTTCCCTATGTCGCCCCCAAGGCGTCGGGCGTCGCTCCAGCTGCTACGCCATACCGCGTTTTCTACAGCAGGAAGAACTTCCTCTACCCCGACCAGCAGCGCGGTCCCCATCGCAGCTGGCGTGACGAAGTCCGCTACCTCGACGACCGCTTCAAAGGCGGCAGCGCCTACATGATTGGCAAGATGAACGGCGAGCACTGGTATCTCTATATCACAGGTCCCGACACCAGCCTCACTCCTCCTCCTAGCCCAGGTGAGGAGAGGTCGGAGCCAGACACTGAGACCAAATTTGTGAGCCACCCTCAGCGACTCTTGCGCGAGCAGGCCACCGATGAGGAGGAGGATGAGACTCTGGAGGTTTTGATGACCGACCTCGACGAGAAGAACGCCCGTCAGTTCTATCTAGAGGACGCAAGTGCGGTTGCGGAAGGTCGCTACCTCCAGAGAGTCCGTGAGGCTCGCAAAAACGCTATCCAATCCCTGGGTACTATTTCGGAAGAGAATGGCCACACCGAGAGTCTGGGTGGCTCTACTGTCCTCAACTCAGCTGCCAACACCCACACCTCAGATGACAGCTTCGACGTCTTTGAGCAGACATCTTCTGACCACTCTGGCTTCAACTCAGACGAGGAGCTTACCTTCCCTGAGGAGTTGACTACCGAAGGTCACACGCTTGGTACGGTCGTTTCCGAACACTGTGGTCTCGCCGACGTCTATCCTACCACCAAGTATCCCGATGCCCGTATCGATGCTTATCTGTTCACGCCATGCGGCTTCTCTGCTAATGGTGTTGTTCCTGCTCCTGGCGGTGCTCCCAATGGTTCCAAGAAGGGCTCTGATGCTACCCACTACTTTACCGTACACGTCACTCCTGAGCCCCAATGCTCTTACGCTTCCTTTGAGACTAACGTGCCTGCTCGCCAGAGTGGTCGCGAGACTGCCGACATTGTCGAGCATGTTGTCGGTATCTTCAAGCCTGGCAGGTTCAGCGTCACTCTCTTCGAGGCCAAGCCTACTGCTGATGAGCTGCCCTTGAAGAATGCCGACAAGGGTAAGAGAATGGAGGTGATTCCCGGCTACCGTCGTGTGGATCGTATCGTCCACGACTTGGATGGATACGATCTTGTCTTCCGGTACTACGAGAGGGATGACTGGAAGGGCGGCAAGCCCAGGCTCGGAGAGGAGTTTTAAGTGCTGTTGCAGAGGGGGGATGTGGATATTCAGTAAGCTGGACAAATTGATATACATCTTGGGGGACAGTCATTACCGTGTTTTGCAATCATTTTGTTGTTATTCTAGCCAATTCCACTCGTTTTGTAAACAGTTTGTTCAGATCGTCTTTGAATAGTAAGCCTAGCTTGTGTTGATACGTTACATACTGCTGACAAGAGTGTGTCATGAATGTAAATCGCGGTGCACGCCATCTTCCCTGACTGTTGTTCCAAACACAAGACTCAGCATACCGTCTTTGAACCATAGTTGTAGCTTATGAGAATCTCTTCTTAACACTACTGCCTAGCACTTTGCTACTCCCCCGTTATCTGTACCCTTATTTAACATCTACTCGACCTTCATTTCTCTTACTACCAGCACAGCAAATACATCCTCATTCCCTATTCCATCACTGCACGTAGGCGTGTGTCTAGTATTTTATCTAGTCCGAGCCGGACGCTGCATATCACCACGCAAGAACACCTCAATAACATTATACGAGCAGTCAAGCATATAAATTCTATGTTACACTATCATACACCCTCTCCCTTTCCCTTTCCCTTGTCCTCTCCACGCATCTTCTCCAACGCTTCACGCACCCTCCTCACCGCCTCCCTCGCCGCCCGTCTCTCAACTACATCTTCCTCCTCAATCACCTCCTTCTTCTCCGCATTCTCAATAATAAACCGTACACCCTCTTCAGTACTCTTGAGCATCCGTCTCCCTTCTTCCCTGGCGGTAGCTTGCCACGTCTCACGGGCTCCCTCCCATAATTTCTGCATGCGGCGCAGCGAAAAGGTGAGACCGAGGGCTGCGACAGCGGAGGCTTCGAAGACAGAGAAGGAGGACATGGAGACGTAGAGGAGGGCGGATGCGGCGGAGGATATGGAGGTTGTGCTGAAGGTTTGCAGGAGAAGGCGTTGGGCGAGGGCTTGCAGGGGAGGAACGGTGTCGTTAATGAGCTCGGTGCGGGCGTTGGATATTTGCTCGTGCCAAGGCGTGGGTTTGCGAACGTTGGTTGAGAGGTCCATTCGTTGGTTTTCTGCTGTGGGCGCGGTGTCTTCAGTCGTAGCCTCGGGTATGTTGAATGCAACAGGACGTTGAATCTCATCAGGGTAGCCGGCTTGATTCATGCGACCAGCAAGATAGACACTGTTTTTCTCGGCAGAGACAAGCCACCGTCGTTCCAGAATCTCTGAGCTGATCATTGTGACATCGTCGACACGCCAGAGCAGCTTCCACCAGGCCAGCTTGTGCCAGTTCTTTGCCGCAAAGGCTTCGTCGAGCTGGTCGCGGAGCTCAGCGTGCGACTTCTCAGCCCAGGCCTCGAGATGGCCAAGAATCGATGCAGTGACCTCTTCATCAGTTTGAACAGTTGCGAGTTTCTGCAACCGAGCGGCGTCTTCTTTCGCAACACTTGCTTCTACACCATCTGCAACAGAAGCTATGAGCGTCCTTAGTGGATGCTTAATGCCATTGGATGCTTGGAGACCCTGAACTAGCCATTGAGATAATGTTGGCAGCCCGCTCTGGAACCAAGCCCGCTCGTAGACAGTTGCGTTTTTGATAGACTCGCGGAAACTGTCGAGCCCCTTGGTACCAACTGCAATGTTGATAGCGGCACTTTCGGCGTTAGGATCTGAACTTGAACCGGTCGATGGCACTGGCAAATCAATGGCCAACTTCACCATATCCTGCATCTCATCAAGACCGTCAGCGGAAAATCTTCCATAGGATATGGCACTGTCGAGTCCCTTTCCTAATATTAACGTCTTATGCACCGGGTATGGGACAGGCAATCCTCTGGCAGAAGTAGCATGAAGTTTGGGGACCAACAGCGACTCGGTGGAGCTCTCTGTTGACACGTGAGGGACGGATTTGTTGACATTGACGTTTACCGTCGAAACAAGGACCTCTAGATTGTGCGATTGGAGAACGCGAGACGGGACGGCGAGGACTCTATACAGTGGTGATGGCGTAACATCGTCGGGGTCGGTGCCGTACCTGCGCAGACATGTCAGCTGTTGCGCCCTCGTTGCAGCGACTTGAGGGCACCCACTTTAGCAACACAGCGTTCTCACTGCCAACGCCTGCCTTGGCCAGCTCCTTCTCCCATTGCCCTTCAGTGGCCAATGGGTCAGCAAGCAACAGCCGTGCCAATTGTTGTGCGCTTAATTGGCTATTCAAACCAAGGACTGTATGCCACTGTCAGCGCCTACGCCGCTCGCACTCAATTGCGTGTGCACCGTACCAGCGACTCTTGTGACTGCATCTTGGGCGGCCAGACCCCGCAATGCCAGCTGTAATCTGCTAATATTGACGTGTGTCTCTGCAGCACCACTGAGAGCGGATAGGGCGTCGTATAGCTCCTGGTTGCGTGGCGGGACATTGGGGCGCAGATTTATCGCAGTCGGCGAGACATGCGTCGATGCGGAGCGGGCGTGGCGACTCGTACATGGCGACTTTGGGACATTGCGACAGCGGAGCGCAAGCGGAATCCGATCAATCGACCCTGTCTTGCGAAAGATGGTCAGTCGCGGCACTGAGGCCACCCATGGAGGCATCGGGCTTGAAGTTGAGCATTACTATCATCCTATGCAATACTGCAATTGACGTAGGTCGGCAAAGCTAGCTTCGGCCCGCGCACGTGCGCTAGCCATCACCATCTCATCCAGCCTCATCACATACTACATTCACAACAACAAAACCACTAATACATTAGGCACGTGAATTGATTGTGTTTCAATGAAGAGTCGGCTCAATAAAGCCGCAGCAGTCGACCAGCAAATTATTACCACCCATCGTAGGGTGATTACCTTTAACGTTCTATACGCCTGAATGGTATACTGATGACATTTGGTAGCCCGCCAATACCGAAATCAACAACCAAACCAGCATGTCATGTCATGGCTCGTCTCTCGGCTTCGCTCTCCGATCGCGAACGTGTAAATCGCGCCTAGCTTTTTCGGTTGCGACTGGATCCAGATGACCTGCATATATTAGCCATTGTACAATATTGCATCACCATCTAACAATACTTACATGCTAATGCGCCTTGCCACAGTTGCCAGGCCCTGGTCGTTTTCTGCCTCCTTGGTTGCCTTCTCAAGAGCTTGCTCTCGGCTGACTTCCTGAGATTTCCGTACTTCCTCGTGGCTTGGTGGCAGTCTTTCATTCTGCAGATCGACCTTGCGCGCGTCCTCGAAGCTGTGAATTGCCTGCTTAATTCCTTCTGCACCAAGCATTAGAGTACCAGCCGGGAGTCGACCTCCTGAAGCTGTCTTCAACTCTGTAACACGCTCAGACTCCTCGCGCAACACTTGGAATACTCGAGAGAGGCGACCAATGGCCAGAATCTTGTTCTTTATGGCACGACGCTTGAATTCGGTCGAATCTGGGTCCAGACTCGAGAGAGGAGGCGAAGATGGTCCAGAAGCCAAGGAGCTGGGTGTCTCCTCTTCGAGTTCTTCCTTGGAGCATGTGTTCAAGATAGCAATGAGCATGTCAGTGACTGAAAATAGTTAGTAAAAATGCTGGAAAAGTCGATCTGTTCCACATACTCTTCTCTCCAACGAATGGCAATGACCACGTGAAAACGTCCATGAAATTGGGCAACCAGTACGGGTGAGGTGTGCAGTCTGGAAGTGTTAATCTTATAGCCCACTACCGAGTGGCATGAACTTACTGAATTGCCGAATGTTCATGACATTGTTCTCATATTTGAGCACAGCAGCTTTGTTGTTGTACACATCCAGGTAGTTGGGTGCACTGAAGATTGTCATGACACTGGGGAAACCAGTCGTCCGTGTCTTCCTGTACATTCGGTAGCCAGCATCCTGGGCCTCGTGTGCACGGATAATAGACAAAAGGTTGTTCTTCTCGAGGAAAGCGCATGCAGCAGGGTACGAGAAGAAGTACGAGCATCCACGAACGTGGTTGTGAACAAAGAAGTCATTGGTCTTCTCTTGGCCAAATTCCTCGAGTGGGTCAGCCCACAGAATATCGCACATGAGACCATGCGTTGGCGGCTCCCGGAAGCGGTCAATCTATGACAGTCAGCTACAGTGCTAGAGGCGTTAAGAGTAACACATACGCTCTTCAGGTCGTCCAAAGTGTGAAGTTCAGGGCTCAATCCACCGTGTATACACAAAAATTGCTTGTTCATGACTGCGGCCAGAGGCAATGCGCAGAAAGAGTCCATGCATGCTTCGTATACGGCCTCGGAGTACTTGTGCTTGCATTCTAGCTTAAAGGTGAAGTAATCGGTCAAGTGACGACACTCGTGGTTTCCTCGGAGGAGCCAAAGGGTGTTGGGATACCAAATCTTGAGGGACCATAGGTATAGGACACACTGTGGTTGTCAGCAAATTGCACGTGGCAAGCTTCGCAGCTGTGGCTGTCTCACCTCGATACTAAAGTATCCACGATCAACGTAGTCGCCCAAGAACAAGTAGCGCGTCTCTGCTGGGTCGCCACCGACCTCGAAGAGCTTCATGAGATCGTAGTACTGGCCGTGGACATCACCACAGACAGTGATGGGAGCATCCATTTCCAACATGTTGGGCTCCGACTTTAGAATCTCTGTGCCCTTCTTTATAATCCATAGCGCCTGCTGTTCGGTCAAGCGACCTTCACGGTAAAAGTGCTGCTTGAGGAACTGGATATTGGGCTTGGTGCGATCTTGCGGTGAGAAGAATTGCTCGTCGGTGGGCGGGTGGAAGGCGGGTGCTTGCACGTCTGGTAGGCACAGCGCCGTTAGCACATTATTCGGGCTGTTTAGTACAGCAGAAATGACAGGCACAGGCACACAAGCCAGGCAAAAGCTGTGAAACGGGCATACCTTTGCAGACACGTTCCTGAGTGCTTACTTGGCTGCCATCTTCCATGGTATGGAGGGTAAAGTCAATCTCGGGGAGAGGCTTCTTCTCCCGCACGGCGCGGATGGCATTGTCGATGTACTTTGTCTGGTCGACATCTTGCTGGTTTTCCATGTTGGGCGGTCTGTGCTGTACGCCGTAGAGGGTGAGCGCCAGGAGACGGTGGAGGTGAGGGTAACGAAGTAGTGGGGCGAGCGCAATGACCTCCTAAGCTCAAGTGGTGGCAACGTGCGAAACGAAGGCCGAGACTTGCTCCTCCTAATACCTTGGGCCGACAACACGAGTTAATACCTCAAACCGCCGTGTCTGTTCAGGACGTCGCACTTTGTCTCGTCGCGTGCTCTCGGGTGTGCGATATGGTGGGGGGATTTGTTAGGGCCGAGGGTGGGAATGCAGAGGGCAAGTCAGGGTGCGCTGTCTGTTCACTGAGGGGCGGGCCAATCAGCAACCGACTAACGTCATAATCCGGTGAATAGGCTCGAGGTTTTGCTTGTAGCAAGCAGATGCCTAGTACCAAAGAATAGGAGATGCAGCAATGCACGCCTTGCGAGTAAGGCAGCATGGCGGAATGTGATACTCCGCTCCAGCCAGACAAGTCTGTCACATCAGGCAGTTACATTGGGTCCTGCCTGGCCTGACAAGGAACGCTTCGCATCTACCCTTGCTTCTTACTCACAATTGTTAAGTTTCCGGCGAAACACCAACGAAACAGGCACAGTAGACTCAGGATCACAATCACAAATGAAGAAGATGGGGTTTGAGTAAAAATGAGCGTTATCATTGCGTATTGTACAACAGATAGTGTATATGCAGCTCTCGTAGTCACGAGACTTAGCACAAGACTTCTCTTTCGTCGATAAAGAAAAAAAAAACAAGGCATGTCAGCCGGGTCAAGAGCTGAGCATGAAAGAAAGAACGTAACAAAAGTAGACCACAAGAAGAAGAAGTGTCACGAGCAAGACCCGAGTGGTGTCTGCTGCATGTGACTGGAGATATGAACACCAAGACCCAAAAGCCCTCCCAATCCATACCATATATGTCCCTATCCGTGATTCCCAACTCCAAATGATGCGTTTCGTAGCCAACGGCTGAATTGGGTATGTAGGAACGTCTTGCGCGCCTGGTAGGCGCATGAGCCGTGATGCTTAGATGAGGTGAGAGGCTCCGTGGCGGCGGTGAAGATGAGCGCGAGGGAAGTGGAGAGATCGCTTCTTGACCGAGGCAACGATAGCGCCACCAGTGCAAGACATGCCGTTGGCCAGGGGCTGGGGAACCACACATCCGTGGTTGCAGAGACCGAACTGGCTGGCGCCAATGCAGACGACTGCACCATCGTTGTCGCATGGAGTGCAGTCACCATTGCCAGAGGGTGTGTTTGTGCCATTTTCGGGAGTCTCTGGGGCAGGGCTGAGGGCAGGTGGCTGAGGAGCGCTTTCGGTGGGTGGCTGAGGAGCACTTTGGGCAGGTGGCTGAGGAGTGCTGTCGGCGGGTTGCTGAGGAGTGCTATCGGCAGGTTGTTGAGGGGCGCTGATAGGCTTGGAGACAATGGGAGTAGGGGTGGGTGTAGGAGCTGGAGAAGCACCAGGGGCGAAGATACCACCGTTGTTGGCAGGAAGGGAAGCCAGTGGAGAACTGGCAACAGGGGTCTCGTTTCCTGCAGGTTGAGACGCCTCAGGCTGAGTGGGGGTTCCAATCTTGCCGTTACCAGCACCCATCTTGGCCATCTTAGCACATCCAGAACCAGTCAGGGTGTCACCCAGTGCAGCACCGTTGCCCTCGACGAGGTTCTTGCCCGGCTCTGGGTAGACAAAGTCTTCATTCTCTGCAGTGCTGCACTCGGTTGCGGGTAGATTGGCAACGAACATGTCTGGGAGAGATGCGAGGGCCTCAGCGGCGCTTGCAGTGGCACGCTTAGTAGTAGCGCTTCCGACCTGAATGGGTGCGCAGTTCATGTAAAACTCGCGGTTGCCGACCTTGTTAATCCAAGTCCAGGCGAACGTGTACTGACCATCGGGAATGTTTTCTGGCATCTTGACAGGGAAAGTGGCAGCCTCAGTGCCGTCTGGGTTTTGAGGAAGATTGCCAGTAGCATTTGAGGGACATCCGCCAACAACGCTCTCAATGACCTTCCATTGAGATGATTCAGATGGTTGTTGGTCAGTAGTAATGGAGAACTGGCACGAACCGCCGCCATGAACAGCAGAGCCCAGGAAAGAGACCTGTTGAGTCTCACCGGCGTTCCACTGGTTCATCTCAGTGATGTCATATACACCAGGACGTTGCTTGCAAGGGAAGTCGGCGGGCTCCAGGGGGGAGCTGTTGAGGGTGGCGAAGCCATAAGGCTTTGGATGAGCCATCCTCATGTGGGCGGAGGCGCTGGCGGCAAGCGCCATGAGAAGAGTGGTTTTGGAGAACATGTTTGTGTTTGAAAGAATGAGGTGAGAAAAGGCTATTCTCTGTTGGAAATCGCTAGACCAGCTGAGCGACGGAATGAATGTGTTTCTGGGTATCTGAAATGTGCTGAGCGAAGCGGGTTTGATATGAAGAGCGGTAGATTGTCGAATCTAGTTCTTCAGCAGCGCGCAGTGATTGTAAAGAATGTGATCTGCCACAGGCAGGATAGAACAAGAAGCAAAAGGGAGAAAGAGAAGTCTTGGTGTTTGCTGTAGTAGCTGCTTGTGAGAGGGCAGTTGAGACGAAACGCTGCTGGGTTAATATATAACTCTCATGTCGTCTACGCGTACAGCTAGCCTCAGTCGGTGGCGGCCGAGGAGGGTCTCATACGGCAGCACTAGCAGCTGGGAGCCACTGTGCCGGCGGATCATCGTGAAAAAGCATAAGCTATTCGATGGAGCAGGGTGTCTGTTGCAACAAAGAGCATGGCTGTTCGGTTAGTGTCCCCCCTGTGGTTTAGCGGGAGGGGTGTGAGCGCTGGAAAGGTGGTGTAACTATCAGTGTCGGCAACTAGCGACAGGCACCAACCCAATGCGATTGGCTCTGCGGTGATGACAAGGCCATTGTCCTTGAAACAAAAAGAGCGGAGTATGGCTCGGAGGGGCAGGTATTGGTGCTGTCCTCTAGTCAGGGGGCCACCGTCAGGTTTGAGGTCTGTACCTGCGGTTTGCAAGTTATGCAGGGGCGTGTGGGATTCGTGGCCTATCGATAACGCCAGGGCTAGCGTTAGCGTGGCGCGGCGATCACTAGCCAAATCTGAAACGACATCCACCCTCGCTGAGGCCTGCTGTTGCATCCCTCATTGGTCCATCGCCTCATCTCCACGACCGCTCTTCTCCCACACTCTGCTTGTCCGTCAGCAAACCACGTAGCACACTGGCGGCTCTTTGTCGCTAGCCACCGTCTCATAACCGCCTATGTGTGTGCGTGTGTGTGTAAGTGTACCATGGGCGCGAACAAGCCTGCTTGCGTCCAGCCATGGTGCCTGCCATGGCACCACGACAACCTTTTCCCTTTGATTGCAGGCCTCGCCCACCAACAGACCCCATCAATGACATACAAACTTCATGCATAACATCCCTGGTATACCTCGTCATGCGCAAGGGTCTTTTTTTGGCTCGCCACAGCTAAGCCTCGTGCTCATATGCCGTGACAGTCGGCAGCGGCAACGGCGTGGAGATCTGTGCAAGGTACACAGGAGGTACACTACGCTGTAGGTTGCTAATCTGGTCTGTCGGCGAAATGCGACTGACATGGCCTTCATGTGAGCATTGCTGCGCCACATCGTGTCCGCTTGCCTGACGTCGGCATAGGCGAGCGGAAGGATTGCGATCTAAGTACCGGCTGTGTGGCTGTGGCCGCTCGCCGCTGGCCGCTGGACTGTAGCCTCGTGGTAGCCTGGGTCATGTGGCCCGGCGGCCGCGACCCTATGGCCTCGCTTCTCTCGCTACCCGCCACTCGTCACCTGCTTGCTCTGGAAAGGTGCGCCGTCGCCTGCCAATCGTCGTCCCTCCCCGCCCATGATTGGGCATTCATCAACTACAGCTTGTTTCACTATATCGCTCGCACCCAAGGAACTCGCACGGGAATGACTAGCAAACAACTACACGTTACCCGCCTCTCCTGTCTCTCAAAGTTGATCAGTGGGGACTAGACGTGGCCTATGGAGCTTGGTTTCGGATGCTCCGCAAACAACGCCCACTGACCAATCGACCCGTAGCCGACACCACCAAAGACGACGACGACAATGACGATGCCGACAAAGCTTAGAGCACCAACTAGAGCCATGGCCACCGCACTATCCATCAGAGCTTTCCCACGCTATTAGTCGCCCTCCCATCCCTTCAACAGACGTGTGTTGGGTCATAGCTACCGAACGACAAGCAGCCGCATTGCTAGTCTCGAGCTACAGTATGCAGGAGTAGACAAAAGCTTTCAAGCACAACAGCTAAGCATACCACTACCCCCTTCGGTAGGTTTGACGGAATTCCAGAAGTTCTCCAGAATGAACTCAGGGATACAACCTGAAGTGGCCGAGGGCTCCGGTAGGCAAACTTCGGCAAATGGCAGCCATCTTCACTACCCTGAAAGCACTGCAAGTTCACTTTTGATTCCGACTTTTCAAAGCGCCACCTTACTTCTCCTTGGCCTTTCGGCAATGTTGCACTTCCGCTGCCGTTGGCCTTCTCAAATCGCCCCGAAATGTGATCTTCCACGGAAATTGGCATTGCCGCTCGTTGTCTTAATGGGTGCAAACATCCGCTCTTAGGTTTTACCCCATGTCGAGCGGCATACTTAGCTACAACTCGTTTGAAGATCTAGCACATTACCACATGTCCCGCATCCGACTTGTGGACATCAGTGTGCATTTTCTTCCTCGGCCCCTTTAGACGAGGACAGTGACTAGTCAATGGTGCTCCTCGACAGCTCTGAGTAATTTCCATTGGCGCGGAAAGAGTTCTCCGTTTAGCCCCAGTTTCCCCAGGCGCTCGGGATTGATACTTTGGAAACATTGCACACAAAAGCATGGCTGCGTCAGCATAGTAGTGTTTCAAGAACACGGAAGATGTTGAACACAGGAAAAAAAACACAAACAAGATGAAATCTAGCTTATTTTGCTGATCAATGCGGCCCTCTAAATTAAGCATCAACTGCTTGAGCCCCTCCGCCAAGAAGCAACCTTTTTGTCGAACCAAGTGGCTTTCGACCTGACTCTCACAAACGGTGTTTTCTCAATGCCGATATGAACTCTTCCGTCACCACCGCCAATGAAACTCCCATATCCGTACCTCGCGTCCACCTTCTCAAGATGTTGGGCTCGGCCCCTTTTGTCCAGATACGACGTCCCCCGCATATCCAGAACTGCTGCACTAGCGGCGAACAGGGCAATCAAAGAAGCGATCGATGTGGGCAACCGTGCGAGATACTGGCCGGGTCGACGCATGTACACCATGATTGCAACGATGGCATAAGTGCACAAGATGACCTCGGAAATGACAAACATTGGCATCGACATGAAGAGGCGTGTTTTCGGCTCTATGCGCCAACCTTCTGATGTTGGTGCGTTCTGAGCTTGGCTAGGTATCAACAACTTGTCTTTATTGGTTCCCATCCAGATTGCAAATAGAAGAGAATATGCCTTGTTCAGGGGGTCTTCTATGTCTCCAATTGTGGGCAGCCCTTGTGTAGGATCGATCAAGCGGCTGTTGTTGGTAACATGACTGACGAAGTAATTGATAAAGCCGTCGGCGAAGCTGTCATTGTGCCATGCAGAACTACTGGTCATGAACAAGTATCTGTTGGATTGGCCAATAAGATTGATGGGATCGTTACTGAAGGTTTCCATTGGCACCTGGCTATCCACTGTCACATTCTGTGCTTTCTTCAGCAAACGACCACTGGAGTCGACACTGACTGTTGCAAAGCCTGTCATTAATTTTGGTCGACAATGAACAAAAGCGGAATTCTGCTCATTCAATACTCTTGCTTTGAAGTTTCCACAGGAGCCATTGCGATCTCGGAGCCATCCCAGGACGACTGATCCCATGCATACTTCTGCATCGGCCTGAGAAGCATTGGCGGTTGGACCCAACACAAACACAAGTTCAGCCGCACTTGGTCCAGTAACGCAGCTGCCTTCCTTGGACGAGATTGGACCCTGGCGCATATAAACCTCGGTTCTAGTGCATCGCACGGCTTTCCCAGCGTTAGATATGACGGTGATGTTAACAGAAGGTCTGATGGAACCGCTTCCTGGGCTCTCGTCAAGCAATCCAGCTTGGAATCTTTCGTCGAATTTGAGACTGCTGCATGTGAGCTTCGCGCCGAAACTCCTTGTCCTAGCTTCCACACCATGCAGGGATGTGGTGTTGGTTCCCTCTACAAGAAACGGTAGGTAGAACATTGTTTCGTCAGTCCATGCAGGTAGCGAAGTACCTTGTCTAAGATGTGAGTCGGCAACCAAGAATTGGTCCTCTCCATTTCCACCTTGATAAGCTCCAGATGCTTGTAGTGCGCCAAAGGTTTCGCCACCTATAGGACCTATGGATCCATTGATTGGGACAAATTTGAAATCGTATGGTGGGCTTGTAGTTGTAGTGTATCGCATGTCGATAGTGGTCTGGTTGAACAGGCCTGCCAGACTTACTGCGAGCAGATTCGCGAGCAAAGCCATTATGCAAACCACGGCAAGGACAAAATGTCTTGATTTCAGGGCTTTGAAAACAACGAGCTGTGGCGGGAGAGAGCTGTAGTTGAGATCGATTGACTTTTTCGCAGGTGCGTTGCACGCCTGGAGTTCCTCAATCGGCTGCAGCATGCACAGAAGACGGTTGAAAAGAAGCCATATTGGTTCGATGAGCGTTGCTATCGCAGTGGGTATGTAATTCTCCAATATGTTCTGTACGATTGTGTTGGAAGAAGGGAGGGGTAGGCCTGCTTCAGTCAGCGCTTTCAAGTACTTCCGGTTGAGCGACAATGAATCCTACCCTGCAATCGAGCCTTGGCGAATATGACGGTGAGAACGACTACCAAGGCTATAAAAACGCTGACGAGTGGACCGGCAACCCACAGGCTGAACTCAAAAGGTCGAACGGGTTTCGCAATGTCTGTCAGTTTGTCGCGGCGTTGTGCTGGGGGTGATGACTGATCAGTACTACCGATGACTATGGGAGAATGGCCCAGCTCGATGAGACTGTGTATGAGTTTAGCGAAACATCCACCTTTGTTAATACTGAATGAAACATACCCAATCGAAGATCCGTCGTCAAGGAGCTTATATCTTTTTTGGCCAAGCTGCTTCACTATTTCTTCTTCTTTGCAACAGTCCAATCCTTCCACGTCTGCCAGTAACAGCTCGTTGTCAGCAACCATGGACATAATGGCGGCGATGGTATTCGGATTGGAGTGAAGAAATTTTTCGCGAGTAACCGACAAGTACAGCAGCGCAATGGCCGCTATGGATATGACTCCAAGAAAGCCCTCGACGATATAGACAAAGACTGGCTCAACCAAGACAGCTTCTGTGGTGTCCACTCGTCGCCCAGTAACTTTATCGACGGTGCGAAAATCCTGGTCCAACACATCCCTCATCGCCCGTGCGAACATCAATCTGTGGCCATCCGCGTAAGATTTGGCGAGGACTTTCCAGTCCAGGTATTCTTCTATCGGACGGTTGCTAACACTCAATGCTAGACCCACCATTGCGTGCACCACGGCCGCACCCTTGGGGCCGCTGCTCAGGCTCAGGTTCGTGCGGGCGACGGGATCGAAGTATTTCGGCACCGATTTACTCGGTAATAAATCGCCCCTCACTTCGTTCCCCGGCGAGTAGCTACTCATGAGCTGTTCCAAAAGAGTCATGTTGAAGAGGCCATCCTGGAGCGGCTTCTTCTCTCCAACAAGGTCGACTTTTGTAGGTTTCAACGTAACTGCATCCACAGTGGCAACTACATCTTGTTGGTAGTAGGTAGGCCAGCAGTAAATCGCCGTAACATTCTGAACAGGATCCGTATCCTTGGCTTTGTTGCGCTGTATCGCAGCATAAAACGTTGCGCTGCTTGTCTCCGGACAGTATGTATCTAGTGAATAATCCGCAAAGCCAAATGGATTTGAATAACCGACATACATGGCTGTAAACTCTTTATTCCGCAGTACGGACGATCCAGGGTGCGCCTTATTCGGACCAACAGTAAGGTTTCCATCTAGCCCCATCCTGAAAGAACATCCCGTGGAACTGTTGGCGATGGCGCCGTTGCCGAGACGGCCGGGACTCATAATGGCAGGCTCACAGTACAAATCCAAACTATACATGGTCGTCGGCGCCGTCCAATTACCATACGGTACAGTTTTGTTATCGGTTTTCGAACCAGGCGTTGGTCTGAACGGAGCGAGCGTATAATTCCGGCCCATATACTGTGTAAGCGTCTCATTCAGCACCGCAATGCCATATGTCGACTGAGCAAAGCGCAGCGTCAGCGTCGACGCCTGATCGCTAGCAGGCACAAATGCTGTTGAGCGGTCGAACGGCAAAGTGACATTACGAGTGATCGAGCGCGTAGAAAATATACCGGCTTGCGTAGGCACTAATCCCCAGGTCACTAGAACGACTGCGAAGGAAGCCCAGAAAACAGGCCAATGCCTGTCTCTAGCCGCTTTGATTGGGACCAATGGTAGGAAGTCGAAGGGGTACTTGAGCAGTATCGAGTCCTTGCCCAGCGCGCCGTTCTCCTTGCTGAGCTGATAATACGGCTCCATGCGTTTGGTCTCCAGGTCGATCCAAGCCCAGTACATGCTGAATATTACAGCGACGATAGTTGGAAAGTACAAGTATAGGAATGTCCGGCTCAAGGGTAAATCGCTGATTCTCGGTGCAAAGATTATGCCTTGGTTTTGCTGACTCCGGGTCAGTAGTATCTGGACTACGGCGATTAAAGACCAGCATATTAGTATGGTTAGGATTAGCACTGGTGCGCGGAGTGCAGTTGGTTTCCATCGTTTGAGCGCTGTGCTTTTGTCAATATCTGCTCGTGATGCGATAAATAGCGAATAACGACGTACACTGGTCTTCTGAACTGCTTCTCGAAAAGATTGATACCAAAGCACCCGATTTCTTCGGTCGAGTAGTAGCGTCAGCAACGCTGGATTGCGACACAGATGTAGCACTAGCGTCCATGATGAAAAGAAAAAACGAGAGGAAAAAAACAGCAATGACCAATGGAAGGAAAAAAACACAACAGAAAAATCGGACAGCAAGATACTAGGAGTTGAATTGATACATTCTACATGTTGACACGATAGGTACTTATTCGCAGCTCATGGCAGCATAAGCGCCCCCAAATCTCGAGGCGCCTGCTGCGGCGCAGTAAAGTATGTGGACCAATGGTTTAGCGACGACGTTCCTCATGTAGCCTAGAGCGATGCCGCCGGAAACACAGCGATTAACGTTATTTGTCTACTGTCCAATACGATTGCAGCAACATAGCGGCAAGTGGATACATGCTTTCCTTTTTAGAGTAATTATGCAGGTGCGGGTGGCTTTGCTGGCAACGGGTGTGACGATCCCCGGTGTTGTGTGTGGTCTTGGCATTTGAGGCAGACAGCCTTGCAATACACAGGAATCATGTATACGGGACTTTGGGATGCATTTGATGGCTATTTTATCGAGATATTGATAAAGGTATAGTTTTTGTAACTGAGACGAAGTTTGCTGTGTTAGCGGAATGCCCCGACTTCGCGTCTCCTGCAATATGGTTAGCGGTTTCGAGTACAAGGCGTTTATATACCCTTACCACCACGTCCTAAAGTTCACGGTCGAGACGTCGATGCCTAGATCCCGGAGAACACTAGTATCTAGATGGCAGTCGTAGGGCCGGATGGTACCGTCTTTCGGTTCTTCCTCAGGCTTGAAGGGCACCATGTTGTCGAGCGGCAATCCCATGATGTCGGCAAAAGTCTGGCAGATTTGCCACTTGGTCATCTGGTCTTCTGAGCTGAAGTGAAGGATACTGGGGAGTTCACGGGTTCTGGTAAGGTCGTCAGCAATGACTAAGTGACTGTATGTGAAGTTTCCACTACTTACGCGTTGGCAGGGTCCAGATAGAGCTTTGCTATGTCGCGACATACTCTGCCGACATCTTGGGTGTTGGTAGGATATCGGAGTGCGTAGTCATCGACTTGGATCTTGGGGTCGCCTTCGCCTATTTGTTGAGCATTCCATAGCTGCGACATGAGTACGTTGACTGCACTTTCCTTGGGCTCGTCACAGGCTCCGTAGAGGACAGGGACTCGAAGGACAACAACTTTGTTCTTTGCATTGACGAGTTCTGCAACATCAAGAACAGCTTGTTCGCCTTCTAGCTTGGTCTGACCATAACTAGTAATGACCGTCAGCCTAATCTCGACAACACCATTGAGGCTGCACCCAAATCGACTTACACATTTGGCGGGTTTGGGGTGGCGTCAGCCTTGTAAGGAGCCTCGCCTGGACGCCCCGGAAAGACATAATCAGTAGATATGTAGATGAGGAAGATGTCTCGAGCCATGGTTGCCTGAGCCAAGGCGCGACTTGACTCCACATTGAGCGCTCTTGCTGCTTCCGGGTTCGCAGTGCATGAGTCTGGAAAGCGATTTGCAGCACAATGGACCACAACAAGGGGTTTGGTGTTGTCTAGTGCCTTTTCAATCTCTCCATGGTCTCGAATGTCGAGTTTGACAACATTGGGTGCAGTTACGCGGTTCAAACCAGTGCCAACTGACTCCCAGCCATCGAGGAGGAATTCTCGCTGCACTTGACGTCCGAGCAGACCACTGGCTTTGTCTTAGGGTCAGCCAGCAACGTAGGACTTGTCAAGGCTTGCTTTACCTCCAGTAATTAATGCAGAGTACGACATGCCTCGACTATCGAAACGCAGCACAGCTATCAGGATGTTCTATTGTTTTACCCGGTGAGAGAGTTGCGCAAGTTTGGAGGCTTGAGATGTGCAGTTGAAAGTGACTGAGGAAGGGAAGGGCCGGGGCGCTATCACGTGCTAGCGAGACGCCCGAATCCCTGCAAGCTCACCGCGACGGCTCGACTGCCGCGAAGTAGCTGCGACTTGCATCAATCGCAACAACACTCTACCACCACCACAACAACAATGTCGACAATAGTAAAGGAAGCTTCTCAAAGCTCATATCCGTAAGTCCCTACCTCATAGTTTTATATCCACATTCATCTGATACAGATAGCCCCGTCATTCCTAAGGACTTCAATGGGAACCAGCCCAAGACGATCCGTCTGTATCCTTTGAGCAATTATACTTTCGGAACAAAAGATGGCCAGCCAGAAGAGGACCCCTCTGTTCTTGCGCGACTGAAGCGCCTCGAAGAGCACTACTCGGAACACGGCATGCGACGAACTTGCGAAGGCATATTGGTCTGCCACGAGCACAACCATCCCCACATTCTCATGCTACAGATTGCAAACGCCTTCTTTAAGCTGTAAATATATGCTGCGGTATCATTCACACACTACTTATGCTAACTAATACGGCAGTCCTGGCGATTACCTCCGCGCTGAAGATGATGAGATTGAGGGTTTCAAGGCGAGGCTGAATGAGCGCCTTGCGCCGGTCGGCACGCAGTTCACAGGAGAGGGCGTCAACGACGAATGGGTGGTTGGAGATACACTGGCGCAGTGGTGGCGTCCCAACTTTGAGACCTTCATGTACCCCTTCATCCCTGCCCACGTTACCAGACCGAAGGAGTGCAAGAAGCTCTACTTCATCCAGCTTCCCCGCAGCAGTATGTTTTGTCTTACTTTTGTTGGAGTGATTGAATTACTAACCATATATAGAGGTCCTCAGCGTTCCAAAGAATATGAAGCTCCTCGCCGTCCCGCTGTTCGAATTGTACGATAACACCGCTCGCTACGGACCCCAACTCTCAGCTATTCCACACCTACTCTCCCGGTACAACTTCGAGTTTGTCGACGAGCAGGGAAATGTTGCAGCATGCACACCTGGTGTAGGCCCACCAGAGGGATACCGTCCACAGACCAAAGTCCTGGCAGGTGGGGATGGTGAAGACGTGAAGATGGAGCAAAATGGAGATGGGACTGCTAGCGACATCACGCTCTCGTAGATGTCTACCAGCGTCTCCTCAGCTTTCACTTTCGTTCATACTTGTTTATATCCGGTGTCAGGCGTTATGATAGCGCACATGGCAGTACCAGAGTTTCCACAGCAATCAGACTCCCGCAAATGAGTCGATAGTTTTCGCAGATGGAAGAGGGGTTGCCTCCAACCGAAACAGGTTGAGAGAATGTATTATTTGGATCAGGGTTTACTACTGATGTGGACTTCCTCTTCATTAGGTGAATGAGAAATGTGAATGACCATCGGAAATGGGTTTGGAGACGTCAAATGATACGCTGATTACTTGTTGAGCCCTGTTATCCAGTCATTGATGTTCTTCCCATGGGTCGGAATGGGACCTTATCCAAGATGAACCCTGTCCAATCTTACCTCAGCTCAGTCTAGTCGAGAAACGGGAGCTCTGGATTTCCCATAGCGGTAATTTCAGGGCCGACAGCATAGAATCCGTAGCCGCAAGCATCTCTTTCCAGCGTCATCATACTCCCTACACAATTGATTCTCTGGCACTACACTCATTTCTCCTCATTTTGTATATCATGACATCCTCAAGTTCACATCTTCCCTTTTTTTCTGCGTCACAGTTCCCAGCTACAGTCAACAAATCGTGTTCGAATATCTACTAGTCCCTGCTTCATAATGTATTATAAGACTTCCTGTTCGCCCTCCCCTTGTGCCTCTCTTTAGTTTCCCCAAACTCAAGCACCAGAAACACTCATCTTTCCTCCCCAAGGATCGAAGGCTGTCAATACCACAAAAAAAAGCTTTCTTCCTAACCAAATCAAAACACCAAGGCACCCTCCTCCGCCCACTCGTGTCACGGTACCTTCTCCCTTTGCTCCTCTACTTACTTAAATTAACCCAACCCAGCCTCAACACGCCACAACCATGCACCTCCTCAAACTCCTTGCCCTCACCCTCTTCATCACCCTCAACTTCTTCTTCAAAGACCAGGAACATTACCACACCCGCCCCGTCGGCGAGCAGCAGCGCTGCATCGACTTCTGCTACCGCGCCGGCCGTACAGACGTCATGCATATGAAGATGGCATGCGCCTCGTGCATGGAACGCATCCACAACAGCGTCTGCTACGACTGCGCTAAAGCACGGTATCTGGCCTTGCCGTATAAAGAGGAGTATCAGCAGTGTTGGAGGTGCTACAAGTATGCTGGGTGGAATACGTGAAAGGGAGGAATAGAGATTTGTGGTGAGGTGGTGGAATGGTTGTTGTTGGGGTAGGGGGTTATGTGTTAGGGGCGTTTTCTGTTTTTGGGGGGAGGGATTGAGATTGGTATCTTTGAGGAAGAGAGAAAGAGAGAAAGAGATGGGTGGTTTTTCGATATGTTTAATTGGGGAATGAGTGTGATACAGACTGTGATATCAAGTCATGTAAAAGAAAAAGAAAAAGCCAAATCCTCCTTGATGAATCTTCCCAATCTGAGATCCTCCCCTTAGGTATGTTCGCAGGTTCAAGGATCGCCCATGCACTTTCACGCCTTGGGACATTTGACTCGAACTGAAGCGAAGTGCCCTGAATTACACGCTTTGTTGCGCGTCGTCCACTTCCAACCCTTGCAGTCGCTTCCGCTGTGCACACTGACTTCGCATTTGCTATGTATCACTGTTAGTTCCGTCTGATCCAACACAGCAACACCCTCCCCCAGAAAAAACAACATAAAAACAAAGAGAAAAAAACTCACCCAATATCCGACTTGAACCACGAGAAAATTGATCCCACATTCGTAAACGCCAAACACCGATCCTGACCCGGCATGACATTCACCATGTAGGTACGCCCACCGCTATCATCGCACTTCATGTCATCAAAGACCCAGATTTTCGCCATATTCTTCGGTAGCGATCCCGAGAGAGGGCCTGTGCCTGGCCAGGGTGGCTCGAAGGATTCGGCCAGGGGCATAGGGGCAGGAGAAGCTGTGGCCATTGCGGCGGCGAGGAGGGGGACGAGAAGGAGGGTTAAGAAGTGCATTTTGAAGGTTGAAAGAGTGTATGTGTGTAGGTAGATTTCAAGGTTCCGTTTTTGCGGCGGAGAAATGGTAGATGGTGGGGAATGGACATAGTTATATAGTTGTATGTTAATATGTTTTGTTGCTGGTTAGGGCAGTCATGGTGAAAGTGCAGTTGGTGCTTGCCGGTACTTTCCGTGTGTTCCCCGTGTAACCCATGTAGCCCGAGTGGGTGAATAGCCTAAAAAGTGATGGTTATTTCTTTCATGAATGTTTCAGGTAGCCGTGTGTTGTGGTCGTTAAAGAGGTTGCTGCATAGTGAGGCGCTAGGGTGAACAAAGGTACTTCCGCGTTTGTGTTGTGCGCGGGACTAACGAGAGGGGATTTTGTATTGCTTCTTTCTAAGCATTGTATTGGTAATATATGCAAAGCATATCGTATACGTTTGAAAGCAGATGTGCTCACTTCGCAGGTTTGTAGCTGTATGGTAGGGAATTGGCGGACGGATTGGGATGTGGTAGTGGAGAGTGCAACTTCAACCTTGCATTAGTCCAAGTACAGATATACATTGATCATCATACAACTTCAAATACCCACCTAGTTACGACAGGTATTCTAATGATTCTTAGACTTGAAAAAAAACAGGTTAATGTACCGCGTCGAAATTCTTTGACGGTCACCAGCAGCTATCTCATTCATAAAAAACTTTGGATATGAATTATCGTTTCCATATTATTGAATTTAACCCGCTAAGATGATACAAACAAGAGTAGAGTGCGCCGATACAGCAGCCAAAGGGCTGTCAATTGAACGGCGTGGCGGCTAAGCATCCATGCACCGTGTGCTCAGTTGCAGTACTGAGCACCCATTTCCTCGCCAAGCTTGACATCGTCACCATCTACGATGATCTTCCTGACGACAACGCCTACAACGTCCCACTTGCTATTGGTATCGATAGGTAGGCCCGAGTCCCTCCGCTTACCCGAGGCATCCTCGCTGCCTACCTCACGCACGACTTCCCAGTTGTTGTTGCCAACATCGACGAGCCTAGCACGCCTGTAGCTCGCGTTGGCAACCTGTCGATGAGCGACTACAAAGCCGGCTTCGTCTTGCTCCTTGATCCACTTCCTGGCTTCTTCATCCTGCCAAACCTTCTTCAGAGCGGCTTCTGCATCTTTCAGCATTCGCACACTTTGCTCCTCCGCCTCGATGGTGCCAGCTTCGGTGCCCTTGTCAAGCGGCTTCTGTACTAGGTGGGCGCCACCAAAGCTCTCAACGAAGTGACCGTTCTCCGAGTTGAAGAAGATTACATCTTTGTACCTACATGGGGTTAGTATACATTCTCTACGTTGTTCAGAGAAATATCGCGTACCATCGCGTGCCTACATCATCGTAGTCACGGTCTTCGAGCGTTTTAGGTGTATGCTTGGATGATTTGGAGACCAACTGTCCACAAGAGACCGTGTTGGCAGGGAGGGGTTGAGGCAGGATAGCTAGATCGGGAATGATCGAGGGAGACAATGGGCCTTCCAGGTAGCTGGGACGGCGGGAGTACTTTGCTGCTGCCATGATGAGGAGCTGTAGGTGGAGCTGGAGGAGGAGTTGTAGGAGTAGTTGGAGAGTTCAGAGATGTGAATTGGGTGATTGTAAGAGGACTTGGAGCTGTGTATACTGCTGGAAGCTACGAGATGCGGAGGTGCTCTCGTGAGGGGTCATCAAGCTTTATGTGATCTCATAGTACCACTACCCGTTTGGTAGAAACCCCGCTCGCCATGGCGTGTCCGATCGCCTCAGGTCACGCTCATGCTGCATTGGCTAACTCTGGCAACAATGAGACCATCCAGATCACAATGCGATGCGTACCTGCATCAGGATGAGTGGTGTGATGGATCAGGTGGTTGTGATGAGGTCAAAGACATGGCGTGTTGTACCTGAATGCTCGCTTCGAAGTGGACCCGGGAGGATCCTACGTTACCGGCGGATTCCGACGGCCCTTAGCTTGATGCCATGTTCCAAGCTCACGTGCACCACCGATACTGCACAAACCATAATACTGCAATTGAGCGTTGATATATCTTGTGAGATTCCTGGGCAGAGAGAATATATGCAAGTCTATCCTACTTCCTGCTCAAAGCTTCTGTCGTCCCCTAAAGCCATCAGCCGCATATCTTTGAGGCTGTGCACCGCACTCACGGCTTCATTCCCATAGCCTTAGCCCATGCCTCCATAAGCGGTGGCCCTTTGGCACTGAGACCCTCCTCAAGGTTCAGATCCGGGTCGGACTTGGCCATGGCGCGTCTATATGCCTCACGCTCGCCAACGCGCTTGAGCCACGCCAGAATACCCTGATAGTCGCTTAGATCTATAGGTTCAAACTTGCGCATCGTCGTAAAGGACCACGCATTCATGATGTCTGCGGCAGTAAACTCATCGCCCGCGAGCCAGGTGTTGTTCAGTAGACGGTCGTTGACATGTTTCAATGCATTCGCGGCGCGATCAGCGACACCAATGTACCTGGGATCCTGCTCGCCGACCATTGCCCGAGCCGAAGTCCTCCTAAATAGGGTGGGGTGTAAAGTTCCATTCGCAAAATGAAACCAGTACAAGTAATCTGCAAAGTTCTTGTGCTGTGGTTCCAGTGCCAGCCGGCCATTGGCGTACTTTTGGATGATGTATTCGCTGATGGCACCTGATTCGGCAATCTTGATGGGATTGGAGGGGTCCGTGACGTCCTCGAATACAGGAGAAGAGCCGAGAGGGTACACGGCTTTGAGTTCAGGCGGAGAGAGTAGAGGCGATCGTTGGTAGAGCTTCAATTCATAGGGAATGTTGAGCTCTTCGAGAAGCCATGGGATGCGCTCGCCTTGGCCAACCTGGAGATGGTGGACGACGAGCTTTGGGGAAGACATTTTGGAATTTGACATAAATCAGATGGTGTTTGTGCAAGAGAGGGGTATAATAATCTTTGGAGATTTCGACTCTTTAGATATCCTCGGGTCTCGGTGATCGCCGTATCCGGTAAGTAGTTTCTACTGTGGGCTCCGCTGGCTCTGATTCGATCAATCGGCCTGGAAGAACGATGGATAGGTCTTTGTGACTTTCAGCTTGACCTGTCCGGTCATTTCTTCGCTTTATATCTAGAGTCATCCAGGCAATCAAGTTTGGTATTGTGTAGGATCGGTTTGACCTCTCCGTCTGACATGTTGTAGCTGACAATCACACTACAAGGAGGGGGAGACTCGGCCGAGCTACGCCATGACGAGTACTGATTGGCCAGATATTACTACGCCCTGCAACCTGCAACTTTTGTTCGAGCAAATACCGGAGATACCGCTTACATATTCCTGAAACCGAAGCGGTTGAATATATGTAAGTTGTTATTATCTTCTGTTTTGAATGTACTGCATGACCTCACCCCCCCCCCCCCCCGACCATGCGTCACGTGTTCGCATCGCATTTAGTCGATAACACGTGCAGGAGGATCAGGACAAAAGAATGAAAACCTATCCCAATACACCCAATTATTGCCTACCAATTCATACTCCATATCCTCACACAGATTAGAGACTCAACAAACCTCTACCCCACCCTCCTATCCACCACCTCAAACTCGACTCCATACTTCCCCACAACCCAATTCACCCTCTCCACGACCCCCAAACAGGACCCACAAACCCTCTGACTAATAAAAATCCTTATCACCCCCCCTTCAACCTCCGGACACGCCTTATACGCCCCCGGATTATCAAAATCCCGCATCTCAAACCCTGCAGACCCCAGATACCGCGTCAGCCAAAAGGTAATCAATTGCATCTCTGCATGCATCGCCCACCGGTGCTCCAGCGGTAAGCCCAGCATCTTAGAAAATAGTATGGCTTCGCGCGTCCAGATGTCTTTGTCGATGAAGTCGGTGCAGAGATCAGGGTTTGGACCGCATTTTGAGGCGTAGAGATTGCCGAAGAGACGTGTGATGGCTATGGCGCCGTCGTCGGGGCTTTCGTAGGGTTGACCTGTTTTGTCCCATTCTTTTGCGGGGAAAGTGTAGATTTTGGATAAGGTGAGATTGAGGGTTACGCGGGTGGAGTAGTCGGTTTCGCGGTAGGCTTTTGAGAAGGAGATGTCGGTGAGGGTGGGGAAGTTGGTTTCGGATAAGGATATTTGCTCGGTGGTGGTGCGGGATCGTAGTTGTTGGGTTTGGTGTTTTAGGGATTCTAGTTCTTTGCGGCATGCGAGTAGTTCGTCTTCTTTTTCCTTAAGGTCGCTTTCTGCTTCGAGTCTTTTTGATATCTCTTCGTTCCACTTTGCCTCCGAGTCATCTGCTTCTTTTTTTAATTTCTCGTTTTCGAGCAATAAAAGTTGTAGTTTTGATTGCGCCGAGTGCACTACCGGGGGCCTGGTGGTCGATATGTTGTTGGTAATCTCGAAATGTGAATCTTTGCGCAGCCGAGAGATGTCTCCAACAGTAGTCTCTTCGTCCTTTGCACCCAAGGATTGTGTTTGATCCACTGAACTGCCACATGACTGATCTACGTGCTGAATTCTAATACGGCGAGTAAACTTCGCAATTGGTCTCTGCGAAACACTACCGCTCAACGGCTTGTTTGCGCTATTCCTAACAACGCATGTCTCCTCGGTCGACTGTTTTAAGTCAAGCGCATCGATTCCTGCAATAAGCATTTTAGTCACATCTTCAGTCATCTTGGGGTGCCTAATGCAAATAAAATAAAGAGCTCCGAGTGGTCAAAATTTTGTTCTTTTTGGAGGAAATAGAGCAACAATGCAATGACTAGGCAGCAGCAACTTCGGCTCAGCCTTGCGACTTCCCCTCGCCAAGCCACATGATACCGATCGAGTCACTCGTTGCGTGCATACACCATCTTAGCAAAATCGTGTAACATGTAGCTTGAACGCCTGAGTTGGTGTTGCACAGCATATCGATCGGTGGCATACGTGTCAACGCAGAAGCAATCTGTTCATGCAACGCTGACCGGGGCTTGGTTCCGCTGAAGACATAGATTCATAGGATTGTGGGTAGCCAATAACGCCTTAATAAATTTTCTGGAATCGCGCGATAAATCCTCAATCAGTGGGTTTTGCCAAATAATACGTAAGAGGGAGGCTGGAAGATGCCCGACTATAGGCGTTGTGGTCGGGTCGTTTCTTTTTGGCTATCCAACGCCTTACACATGCTCTGAAAATCGTGGCTTCTGGCTTATTCAGAATGTGATGGAGCGCGACGCGCTTTTGGCTTTGGGATAATCCAGAGCCATTTTTTTCGCTTCTTTCACTTTGCCAATTCTGATTATTTATATTATTCCATGAGTACGACCGAAAGTGGAAAAGAAGTAAGGCTCAGGATGTCCCGTGGAATGTAGATGGGCATCAGGGTTATTAGAATTCCACAGTATGCAATCCACTCGCTGGAAGGGAGCGCGGAATAACACGTGATAGATCATACTGAATTGATAGAATTCCAGATCGCATATGAATACCCGTGAGACTCATGGCCATCGGTATCGTATACATGGGAAAAGACTGTCGGCTGGATCTTATATTCAAAGAAAGTCCACAAGATGATAACCACCTGTCACCACCTCAAGAATCTGTGACCACCTTTCCAAACAGCTCAACCTCTAGCTACTCCCTACTCTATGATTTTCTATTTCATCTGTATCCTCGTCGGTTGTATACCATCCATCACTATCAGCATCTTCATAGTCGTCCGGCCAACTTGCATCACTTTCTCCATCAGAATCAATTGCCGAATCCGTTTTCTCATCCGGCTCTTTCAATTTGACTCCCATCCGAACTAATTTAGCTTCGTAGGTGGCCTTATCGACCTCTGGATCCCGGCGAATCTTTCGCATTCGAGGCCTCCACACTCGATTCATGAAAGTGACAAAAGGCTTCTTGTATCTGGTCCATTTTCCCTCCAACTCCGCGACAACCCTCTCAAGAACCTCGATGTCGTCGCGCTCGAGATCATGAATTTCCTCCGCTTCTTCAGGCGTCGGGCGTGTGAATTGCCTCAATAGTTCATCGTGCATTCGATAACAACAAGTGTGTGTGAGGGATAGGGTTTCAAATGTCAAGACTCGAAGTATAGCAGAAGCCATCCATGAGTTTTTGTGGTTGTTATTGACAAGACTGAAAAGGTATGCCTGATGATTTCGCCGATAAGTTATTGGAAAGTGACGCCAGTACTTTCCGCACTGCTTTCCAATCGCACACCCGATCACGGTACAACCATCTTCGGAGCAGTAACACTGACAATTGTCACTAACCTCTGATGATAGAAGCACCGAGATATCTTCCCTATACTCAGAGTTCAAAATCCCGCCAGCAAGACTGTGTCGAGCAAGTAGGTGAGCCGGCGTCGTGAGATGAATTGGATGGACCCAAAAAGGGTCAGCACCATGTCTCATGAGCCACCTGAAAATCGCAATAAATTCGGAACGTGCTCTTCTACATGATATCCATGAAAGTGCTTGAACCCAAAGGGAGGTACTAATTCGAGTTTCTCGGGGAAACCATAAATTGCTAAGGGCGATGGATTCTACACCTCGGTGACCTGCTTGCCAAGCGGATTCCGCCGATAAGAGTGTCAAACATATGTTGTGATATAGTGACGAGGTCTTATCAGTTATATTGACACTTTCAAAACTCCTGGTACTGATTTGATCATCTGAACCAGCGTTGTGGTCTTCGTAGAGATGACTCGCAATGTGATGGTAAATCTTGGTCAACGAAAAATTGGTCTGTTTGTCATGACTCTCAAATTCGAAAAAACGACGTGTTATGTCGTCCCAGGTTTTCCGTGTTATGGGGACTTCGTAGTTCAACAAGACCTCGATGGACTTGATATTCCTCATTGTGATAGCTGCTTCCAATAGCATTTCTAGAAGATCCTGTGATAAACTTACGTTGGGATTAGATAACATCATGGTCAGGCCTCCAGGCCATGATGCTAGCGCAGACACAGAATCGTATTTTGCGAACAAAGATGCCCAAGTGTCAACACCTGGAGCTATCAGGCGAGTGGCGAAGTCGAGTTCTGACCTTCGAAATATGACTTCACGTCGGGAGTCATCTTCAGTAAATGCTAAAAGAAATAGTGAGACAGGATGCAGAGACGGGATCTGGAGTTGCTAGCTGTTAACTTACTGTTGGAAAACGACTCTAATTGCAAAAGAGCTGAGATGTTGTCAAAGACTATCTGATATGAAAAAGAGTTCAGTGGATATGGTGTAAATAGTGCGAAAGACCAGCTTTCTGTCCTCTTTGCAACACAAAACAAAACATGACCATAGCGCAACTTCCATTCATGTGTATGGTGAGGGTACGCCAATGGTCTTAACAGCCAATATTCGACCGGATTGCTGTCTCAGTTAGTAAGTTTAAGCAATGAGCATTGGAGAATTTACCGTCCCTCGGCATCTTGATCGTCGAAAGGTACACCCGCGTCGAAACACACATCAATGACCTTAGACACAGCGCTCATGAATTTCTCTCTAGAGTCCATCAAATCTATTGCGAGAGCTATAAGGTGAAGGACAGCCTGTTTTTCATTAGTTTGTGGGAAATAAAAACGACATAAACACATACATATAAAATTCCATTTCCTCTCGTATCAAGATTAGTAGGACAAGCACCCTTTCGAAACTCCTGTTGGAGTTTAGGTGCAATGGTTGGGAAAATGATTGCCATCTGGCTACATCCTTGCTCGTATGAATCTCGATAATCAATTTTCTCGATTGCAGAATTTAAGATTCTGAACACCGGTGAGTCTTGCGGAGCCACAGCCCGATGTCTTAGCACGGGTGCTGGCGAATTCCAGCCCCCTTTTCTCGAACACTGCCAACCTATCTGCACACAGAACTTTAGCAAACTGTTGTATATGGAAAGCTGAATAGCAACGGATTTAGTGTAGTCACCGTATGTGGATCGAGGGCAGTCTTTATGGTGATCATAGGCTTCATCTGTCAGGATCTTATACCATCTTCTGGACTCAACTTTCCGCTTCCGTTTCGAGCGACAGTGGCATGAATTAGACTTTTCAATTTGGGCGAAACAGCTCTGTTTTGAAAGCTGGGACGTGCACTCATGATCTCCTTTATGTGAGAAAGCATATGCTGTTGACGGTGATGTGAGGGTCAACTTCCGAGAAGACAAGTCGCTATCCGCCTATTTCAGCATTAGCATCTGTATATTCTAATGGCTGGATCTTGAATTTCTCACCAACGGGTGTTTACCAATCTCCACAGATACAATATTTTCTGAAAGCTGAGCTCGAAGACTCATAATTTCATCATATATCTTCAACAGACCAGGGCTTTGCGAAGCAACATCTCGACGAATCATTTGCAGCACTTCCGTATTTTCATTGAGGGTCTGTTCCACCCTAATCGCCTGTTTTTGTTGAACAATGAGCTCAGTATGCACCTCTCTCAACCGACGTAACGCGCCGTCAAGGCCGGCACACTGTAGAGCCAAAGCTAGATTCGCCTGGAACTTTGCAAGCGACGACCGCACCTCTTTGAGATCTTCCTTCCTATACGGCCAGAGCATCCTCTCCTTCACGGCTCGAAGTTGAGTTTGAATACCATCTGACTGTGAAATGGGGTTCCGTTTCTCTACCATCCTCTTGAGCTCATACAACGTTTCTTCACACTCCTTCAAAGCCATATGTAATTGCGAAGACGGCGTATGATTATCGATTTCTAGTTGTTCTTTGACCTCGCAGAGCCCTTCTAGGATACCTTCAAGGCCTCTGATTTGCCTTTGGATGGCTTCAACATCGCGAGGGAAGCTTTTAAAATCGGAACAGTACTTGTAAAGAATCTGGAAAGTCTGCAGACCAAGCGAAACTATGCCGACTGCAGTACCGGTGACTGAGAAAGGGTCTGTCATATTTACAAGGAGCAAGTTGATTGTTTTATTTACAGGCAAGCTGGGGGGAAGCCTATCTAACCTTCCTACGCAAGGCTGAAACAAGCAGGGAAGCGTAGGGGGCCGGTGAGGCTATGGCAGTCAGTTAGCCTTGTGTTGTGGCATTTGACACCGAAGCATTCTCATAGGGCGGTTGGAATGACACGTCGACATCTTAGCATAGATTGTGTCCATGACTTGAGCAAATAGTCTGGATAGACTAGTATGTTTCTTTCTGCAGATTGTTACTTTTCCGATCGCGGCCAGCTGAAGACCCCGCTTCAGCATCACTTGTTGCTGCTGTGATCCTTCATAATTTTAGCGACACCCAATAGATATGCATGTCAGAATCGGTTACAGGATCCTAGTGGCCAATTGATAAAGACAGCTCGCTTCTGTGTTACCACGTTTGCGCCGCTCATCTTCTGTTCTTATCCGGTCATACGGACCTTCGTAGCTGATTTTGATGGCCTTGGATCACAGTGAGGAGGCATAGATCGACGCAGGAATTTAATGCAAAATATGAGCAAAGTAGACCAACAGCCGAGTGTCAGTGACTGATGATGCTTTCGCAAACATTATGACAGGACGAAAGGCACACTCCGTCACTAGCGCCTTCGCGACGCGATGCATGCTTCCGCCCCACCAACGCTCCGCTTCGACCGCGCATCAACCCCTCCACGACGCCAACCCAATCCCCCAATCCGACCATGGCGCGCGGCAAACTGATAGTTTTTGAGGGCTTGGATCGCGCAGGGAAATCCACGCAGTGTGAGAAGCTTGTTGCGGATTTGCAAAACGATGGCGTCAAGGTGCGGCATATGCGGTTTCCTGGTATGTGTATGTTCTCATGGGGAGTTTTGTTAGCAAATAATTGCGAAGAAGAAGTAGCTACAGGGAGATCAATGGGGTCAGCGGAACAAGACTGATGGTGTATTCAGATCGAACGACACCAATCGGACAGATGATTAATAGCTATCTGAGTGGGCAAAGCGACCAGGAGGATCATGTGATTCATCTCCTATTCTCTGCCAATCGATGGGAAGCAGCGTAGGCCACCAGCATCTTCCGAATGAGCCATTGGGACACTAATTACAATTTTAGTCCATCTATTCGAGCAGACCTTGCTGCTGGTACTACGGTCATCATTGACCGCTATTACTACAGCGGCTGCGTGTATTCAGCCGCCAAGCAGAACCCCAACATGAGCCTCGAGTGGTGTCGGAAACCTGATGTTGGACTCCCACGACCAGACCTGTGTCTTTTCCTCGATATTTCTGCCGATGATGCGGCGAAGCGAGGCGGTTTTGGCACGGAAAAGTACGAAAAGAAAGACATGCAGGACCGCGTGCGAGAGCTGTTCGAGACGTTGATGCAGAAGAAGGAGGGCGAGGACTTTGTGCGCATCTACGCGGGTACCAGTCTCGAAGAGGTGGCGGCAAAGGTCAGAGAGCAGGCCGATAGGTGCATCGAGCGAGTTGCGAAAGGACAGTTGCCGCTACGAACAGTCGAAGAATGGTAAACGTGTTCATCCATTATTTGACGCTAGCATCTTGTCGTCATCCTCATTCACGTTATCGACCCACGTCTCATCTAGATCTTCGCCCAACTCAACATCCAGGTCGTCAATGTCAGGAAATTCGTCGACCCCTTCTACGGCGCTACTCTCTGCTTTCTTTGTCCGCTTTGTCTTGAACATGGCTTTGATCTCGTCCTGGCCATGTACCCTTAGGCTCAATTCTTTCATCATGTCAGACCATCTGAGAAGGGCATGGCAGCTTGGGCATGTTCCTTCAATCGGAATGAATGCGTCTTTGTTACCTTCTTCTGCAAGGAAATTTTGCGATAGACAGGCTACATGTGACACGGAACGGCAGGCCTCCATAGGGCAGATCAGCACCAGAGACTCTTCTGGATTTGCGTTCGTCTTGCAAACAGCGCAAGCTCTCTTTTGACTGTCTGCAAGTATGCTCCTTGATTTTTCTACATACGACTTGCAGTCTTCGTATGCAACTGGAATTGCTCGTATGACGTCGGGTATGAAATGTGTGCGCATTTCATTTTGTACATCTGACGCGAGCTTTGGAAGCTCGGCTGGTGTTAGTCTAACCGTAATGTAAGTTGGCAGCTTTGTCTTCATCTTGGAAATGTGTCTTTCCCACTGCGCGAAGACGTCGGGGGCAAAGAAGCGAATGTGTAGGGGCCATCGGCTGAAACTCCCAACTCCCAACAGATGGTGCAGATTTTTCAATCGTGCCTCGAGCGACATTGGTGGCCGGGGTCTCTTTGCGGGTGACGCATTCTTTTTGCCCTTGTACAATTCGTCTCGTCTTGCGTCGCGTACATCTCGCTCGATGTGGCGAGTCGCGTGCGTGTTTTGCCACGCCCACTCGAACTGCAGGGCGGCCGAATTAGAGGGGAATCCTGTGACGATGCAAGTCATTTCCCATGGCCGCTTCCCTTGCATTGAGGTTCGCTTTGCGCCGCCCTTGGTAGATCCATTGTGCTGGCCCAGGCGACGTGCCGGATTAGGCGTACTGCCAATGTAAAAGGCCTTGCGGTTCTTGGAGCGAAGCAGATAGCAGCAGTAGAAAGCCGGAATAGGTCGACTCTCTATTTTGATAGTACTGGCCATTGGACGGCCTGGTAAAGGACGTGAGGTCGAGGCAGAGTGTTGTTGTCGATGGCATCTAGAAGCGGCAACGGCCAGTTAGGGCTGACGGGATGGTGCAGATGGGCAGCGCTGTGATTGGTGGGGCCAGGGTGGTTCCCGATGCGACAACCTTGCGCTCGGTCTTCTTACCTGTAGTGTGCCCATGGATCCCTCGACTGTCTGTTGCAGAAACGAGATCCTTGATGACAGCCAGTTTTGTGTCCGATATGGCTAATGAGTTGAATCAGCATGAACTGATGATTCTCGCAGTCTGGTTCGGCAGTCTTAAAATGGGCAGCGATGCAGCCAGCACTTTGCACGTGCCGGCTGGGACAGGTTATACAATGTATCTGCCCAGCCATTGAACGGGCGTCCAGACAGGGGTGTGTGTGCGCGAGCATAGGGTGTAGGAGCTGTCATGCCGTGGCCAGATGGGGGCGTGTAGGAGGTCTGATACCATCCACCATGACTACAGTGACGGCGGCCTTTTGATATCGCTCAAATGGCCACCAGCGCCATGGATGAGCTAGCCCCAGAAACACGGGGCAGCACGGCGCAGGCACCATTGGGATTTCGCACACGCGACCGATGATTGCGCACCGCCGGAATAAGCGTCGATGGATTTGAGTTCGGTACCTTGGGTGTGATAGTGCATCCGCCGCTAGCGAGGCAGAGTAGGGAACCTCTCGCACCTTTCAGCGGCCCCATCCATCCTCCTCATACCTCGCCGCTCCCCACGAGACCGCGCCACACATACGTAGCTGTCTACACCCACGTTCGTCGTCAATACCCAGGCCTGCCATCTTCCGGGCGTGTCATTCTACATAATATCAGTGAATTTCACGGCCCGACTTGGGTCAAAAGCGGTCGCTTGCCGCTCCAGAGCCTCCATGACTGCAGATATATCCCCTCGATAGCGCCCACCACCACCGACAAACTCAATCCCGACTGCCATCGCCTTACCCAGAAATACCCCGTTCACCGTCGCGAGGCCGCAGATAATCCCTACCACTTGTCCTGTCAGGTGCAACGAGTAGGGAAAGGGCCATGGTCGACTTTATACCCCAGGCCGGGCCTCCCACGGGCGCTACAATGACTACCTTTCGGGTCGCCACGGACAATGGAGCGTCAGACGGAGCCCCTGGAGCATCAAAGTCAAAAACGAGCGGCGGCGCGACACCTGCCACGAACGGCGCGCAACCGAATGGGGCAGGCACCATCCCTTTGAGCGCGCGCAAGGCAGCACCACTCGATCTCGCCACGGTGGAACGCAGAGGGCATGGAGCGCCAAACAACCTGCCGCCCAAACAGAACCGTCTCTTCGGCCTGCGCGAAGCTCCTACCTATCGACCGACCACTGAGCAGTTCAAGGACCCCGTCAAGTACATCCAGAGCATCCGCGAAGAGGCACAGAAGTACGGCATTGTCAAAATTGTTCCGCCGGACAGCTGGAACCCAGGTTTTGCCATTGATACAGAGGTGAGTGCACGCGCCATACCTGACTGCGCCTGTGCCCATCTCTACTGCTATTACAATGAGTTACTTTGAGCTAATCTGATGCGGAACAGCGCTTTCATTTTCGTACGCGACGCCAGGAACTGAATTCCGTCGAGGGGGGTATGTACCAGTCAAACTTTGCCTTATTAACCCGAGTCTGATCAGGGCTAGGTACACGTGCCAATCTGAACTATCTGGATCAGCTCGCCAAATTTCACAAGCAACATGGTCATAGTCTCACACGCTTCCCAAGCGTGGACAAACGGCCATTGGACCTTTACAAACTCAAAAAGGCCGTCGAGAAGAGGGGTGGCTTTGAACGTGTCTGCAAGCAGAAGAAATGGGCTGAAATAGGACGCGACCTCGGCTACAGCGGCAAGATAATGTCTTCGCTGTCTACATCCCTCAAAAACTCGTACCAAAAATGGCTGCACCCGTATGAAGAGTACCTACGGTTGGTGAAACCTGGTGTGCAGCAGATGCTGGAATACGAGCACGGCGGACCGTTTACACCCTCACCAGCACACTCGCCTGTGAAGAAATCGCTACAGGGCACGCCCGCAGCCAATGCCACCGAATCGCCCGCCATGAAGGCTTCAGCAGCTCTCAACGCGACTCTGCGCAGTGAATCAGCTCCAACCCCGCCGCCCGAGCTCCCAAAGCCAGCCATGCAGTCGGGCTTTACACCAGTAAATTCCGGCGGCTTTACAGCGGTTAACGCGCATCCACCACCTAAGCCAACTACGCAGCCCTCCACTCCAAGTTCCTTTGCTGCAGTGAATGCACCAAGCAGTATGCATCGAGATGTGCTGGAATCACGCACTTCTACGCCGTTGCGCAACGCTGGCAGCCCAATGTTGTCAGCTGACAACACCCCTGATTTCCGGCCATCAGGTATCGGCTCGACGCCATTGTCCAATGGACATCAATTCAACCAGCTGAAGCGCACCCTATCCCAAGATGCCGATAGTAGTGCAAACGACGATGCAGATGAGGCAAATGGCAGGCGCAGTAAACGACTGAAGAAAGACGCTGCCCCCACTGTGGCCGGCTCTCACATGACTCAGCCTCGCCAATCCACGCCAGGCCGATCGTTCCCTCGTGTGCGTGCCGCCGACGAGCGCCCCGGCGATCGCTGCGAAAATTGCGGTACCGATAATGACCCCTCAAACATCTTGCTATGTGACAGTTGCGACTCTGGCTATCACGGCTACTGCTTAGATCCACCAATCAAATGCATTCCTGCCTACGACTGGCACTGCCCACGCTGTCTGGTAGGCACAGGCGAGTTTGGGTTCGAAGAAGGGGGCATATACTCGCTCAAGCAGTTCCAGGAGAAAGCGCATCAGTTCAAGCAGGGCCATTTTGCTACCAAAATGCCCTTTGATCCAGTCACTAACGCACCAAAGCCGGTCACAGAAGACGATGTTGAACGCGAATTCTGGCATTCAGTTGCGAATGTGACAGAGACTGTTGAAGTAGAATATGGAGCAGACATTCACTCTACGACTCACGGCAGCGGATTTCCAACCATTGAAAAGAATCCACGAGACCCCTATTCTACGGACCCGTGGAACTTGACTGTATTGCCGTATGCGCCAGATTCGCTGTTCCGCCATATCAAGTCCGATATCTCAGGGATGACAGTGCCTTGGTTGTATGTGGGAATGGTTTTCTCAACTTTCTGTTGGCATGCCGAGGATCACTATACGTACTCTGCAAACTACCAACACTTTGGAGCTACCAAGACCTGGTACGGCGTGCCAGCCGAGGATACCGACAAGTTTGAGCAAGCTATGCGTGAAGCAGTACCAGAGCTGTTTGAAAGCCAGCCCGATCTCTTGTTTCAACTCGTGACGCTTCTCACTCCTGAGCAACTATTGAAAGCTGGAGTTAAGGTTTATGCAATTGACCAACGTGCTGGCGAGTTTGTGATAACCTTCCCCGAAGCTTACCATGCTGGCTTTAACCATGGCTTCAACCTCAACGAGGCGGTGAATTTTGCGCCAAGCGATTGGGAGCCATTTGGGGAGCATGGTGTGCAGCGTCTCCAGGACTATCGACGTCAACCGTGTTTCTCTCATGATGAGTTACTACTAGCCGCGGCCTCGCGCAAGGATACCACCATCAAGACGGCCAAGTGGCTTGGTCCTGCTATGCAGCGGATGCGCGATCGGGAAACGCGCTTGCGGAGAGAATTTCTCGAAAAGCATAAAACTGCTAAAGCGCACACTTGCAAAGTTGATGGCAGCAGTAACGCGGATGCGCCTTGTGAACTTGACTTCATCATCGATGATGCTGACGTGCACGAGGATGAACTAATATGTGCCTTCTGCAAGTGCTACGGCTACTTGTCTCGCTTCTATTGCCGGAACACGAAGAAGGTCTTGTGTCTACAACATGCTGGGTGGTTTGAGTGTTGTTCAGATCTTCCAGAGGCCGATCGTTACTCCGGAGCCAAGGGCCAGCATATGCTTATATATCGCATGCAAGAGGATGCTCTGATGACGCTGGTTGAGAAGATCGTGGACAAGGCAAGCACGCCCGAAATCTGGGAGTCCAAGATGGAGAGCCTTCTTGCTGAGGGGCCACGGCCGCAGCTAAAGTCTCTGCGTGCACTTTTACACGAAGGAGAGAAGATTGACTGGGAGCTGAACGGTCTTCAAGACCTGAAAGACTTTGTCGAAAAGTGTCAAGAAGTAGCTGACGAAGCGGTCCTGTACACGACTAGAAAGCTGCAGGCTCGCCGCAAAGCCGAACGCCCCGGTAGGGGAAGACCCAGCAAGTCGGCCATTGCAGAGGCGGATGAGAAGGAACGCGAGTACCGCAATGTTGAGAACATTCAGAAACTTCTTAATCAGGCAAAAGATCTAGGATTCGACAGCCCAGAGATCACCACACTCCGAGAACGCGCAGAAAGCATCGTGGAGTACCAGAACAAAGCGCGAACTGCCTTGCGCGATCGGCCTGCTGAGCAGAGCATCGCACGACTTGACGAGCTTCTCGAAGAAGGCAAGGGCTTCAATGTCGACCTGCCTGAGCTTGAATCGCTCGAAAAGGTTGTACAACAACTAAGATGGCTCCAAGAGGCACAGGATTTCAGAGTCAAGCCGGCACCTACTCTCCAAGAAGTTAGTGATCTCATCAAAAGCGGAATCGAAGTCGGCATGCCTGAGCACCATCCCGACCTTCAGTTTCTGCAAGACAAACGCACGCAAGGCGAGTTCTGGGAGAAGAAAGCGAAAGAGCTTATGGAAGTGGAGCATGTGCACTATCAACAACTTGATGCTTTCTCCAAGCAAGCGACCAATTTGCCAGTGACACCAGAGACACGAGCGGCTATGGATGCAATTCTCAAAAAGCAGCGGGACGCGCAGGAGCTCATCATGTCTTTGTATGAGCGAAGTAAGAACCCAGACTTCACCCAGCGACCCCGATATATGGAAGTTCGCAATGCCATGGAAGGGCTGAACGCACTAAACTGCAAGCCAGCTGGGACCAGCGATCTCGAGAAAGAACAAAAGCGCCATGAAGACTGGATGCGACGAGGCAAAAAACTTTTTGGCAAAGCCAA